GTCCAGGGTAGGGTTGTGTGGTCTGGGATTAGGGGGACCTGGTTCAGGATAGGGGAGAATGGATGTGCCTGGTCTAATCTGGAAATACACAGTCTGGGGTGGATGTGCAGAGACTGGGATAGATGTGCAGAGACTGGGATAGATGTGCACACTCTGGGATGGATGTGCACACTCTGGGATGGATGTGTACTCTCCAGGATGGTGATGTACATGGTCCAGGACAGAGGTCCACACTCTGGGATGGCTGTGCACACTCTGGGATGGCTGTGCACAGTCTGGGATGGCTGTACACAGTCTGGGGTGGATGTGCACAACTCTGGGATGGCTGTGCACACTCTGGGGTGGATGTGCACACTCTGGGATGGATGTACACATTCTGGGATGGCTGTGCACACTCTGGGATGGATGTACACATTCTGGGATGGATGTGCACACTCTGGGATGATGGAGTGCGCAGTCCCAGGTGAGGGTGCACAGCCCAGCCTGGGGTGCACGCTCCAGAGCTGAGGCCACGTTGCCATTCCCGCAGAGCTGCTGGAACTGCGGGCGCAAGGCGAGCGAGACGTGCAGCGGCTGCAACACCGCGCGCTACTGCGGCTCCTTCTGCCAGCACAAGGATTGGGAGAAGCACCACCACGTCTGCGGGCAGACTCTGCAGGGGCTGCCGGGCCCCGCCGCCCCCGGGCCGGGCCAGCCCGACGGGGTGCCCGCCGTGGCCAGCAGCCCCAGCGAGGCGGGCTCGGTGGCCGCGTCCCGCGCCGGCACTCCGGCCACGCCGGCGCCGCTGGACAGCGCGTCCCGCTGAGCACCCTCGGGCTGCCAGAGCCACGGACTGACTGCACCCCGTGCAATTTCCTCAGCTACCTGACTCGTGTGACCTCCGAAACGACCTCTCTAGCTCTCACAACTTATCCTCACGGATCCTCAAACTGGGCTTTAAGTGGAGTTAAGGCAAATACCGGTCTCTGTTCTTTCTTCAGTCTTTGTTTTGGCTTTTTTTCGGTTGGTTTTCTATCGGTTGGGGGATTGTGGTTTGGGATTTTTTGGGTTTTTTGGCTGTTTTTGTTTTTCTTTTTTTGCTCTTTGGATGAGGGATTTGGCTCCAGCATCACCAAGCAGTGCTGTGGGGAGAGACCAGCCCAATCCAATCCCCCATCAGCGCTGCCGAGGGGCTCACTTGGAGGAGGAAAGAATCTTCTTTTCTTCATCTCTCTCTTCCTATTTTTTTTTTCTTTTTACCTTTTTTTTTTTTTTGTAAAAAAATAAAGAAAATAAAAAAGAAAACGTCGGACTCTTTGGCTTTAAGTAAGAAATTGTAAAAAAGAAAAAAAAAAAAGAAAAAAAAAAAGGAAAAATCCAAAAACCAGACGACGCGTGACGGACGCTCACCTGTAACTACCTTGCTAGCTAGCCAAGAACAGACCAGACTCACCTCTGCTCCAAAGGAAATCCAAAACCAAGGAAGATCCAAACGTCTCTCCACTGCCAAAGTTCGTTTCGTTCTGTTGTCGCTTCCTTCCCCTCCCCACAAGGATGGATGGACATGCCCCCGGGGCTTTAAAGAATTTCTATTAAAATAAAGCAAAAAAAAAAAAAAAAAAAGTGTTTTTTTACTAAAACCCCAACCCCCAAGGCGTGGGAGGGGGAGATGGGGCTGAGAACCGCAGCCGGAGCTGGCACATCTCTACCTCTGCCCGCCACCGCCCTGCAAAAGGAGAACAAAAAGGAGATTTAAAACAAAAAAAGAGAATAATAAAAAAAAAATTTAAAAAAAAAGGAATTTAAAAGATGGATTTTGGGTTTCTCCCTCCCCGAAGCCGTTGGGGGACTCCCCATCCCTTCACTGCCAGGCTGCTCCTACCCCCCGCGCTGGATTTGTTTCACAAGGATTTTTAAGAGGAAAAGGAAAGGAAAAGGAAAGGAAAAGGAACGCTGCCGCCTTCCTGGCCAAGGACAATGTGGATCATTGGGATTCTCGCCTCGCTGGAGCGGCACGGAGGAGGAAGTGCAATAGGGGAAGCCCGGGCTCCGAGCGGAGGCAGCAGTGCTGTGCGCTAATGTGAATGTAAATAGTGTCTGCAGAGGTCCAAAAATGAACCATAATAATAATAATAATAATGCTAGTGATAATAATGAGAGACATTTGCCAAATAAAGGATGAGGAGGAAGCGTGGAGCCGTGGCGCTGGCCGGAGCAGGCCTGGCATCGAGAGGAGCTGTAGTTTTTCTGCATTTGCAAAACCCATCCTGTGTGTTTTCCGTAGGGGAGGAAGGGGAGGGAAGGGCTCGGGGCCGGGCTCGGGGTTGTGCTGCCGGTCACGGGGCTGGGCTGGGCCACAGCAGAGCTTGGGACACGCCGAGGGCGATGTCACTGGCCCTGTGCCTCTGTCACCCAGCCCTGCTGGGCGTTCTGTGCACCGCAAGGCCTTGGTGCATCCCTGGGAGGGCTCTGTGCACCCCAAAATCTTGGTGCATCACCTTGGATGAGTTCTGTGCACCCTGAGACCCTGGGGGGTTTCTGTGCACCCCGAGATCTCTCTGAATCCTCCCAGGGTTGTTGTTCTGAGGTCTCGGTACATCCCCCCAGGAGGTTTCTCTGCACCCCAAGGTCTTGGAGCATCCTCCTGGGAAGGTTCTGTGCACCCCAAGGCCTTGGTGCATCCCCCCAGGGGTTTCCTGTGCACCCCAAGGTCTTGGCCCAAGCTCGGGGACGTTTCTGTGCCCCCCAAGACCTCGGTGCACCCCATGGGTGTTTCTATGCCCCTCCCCAGCCCTGGGAGCTTCACCGGGTGCCCCTCCCGTGACTGTTCACTTTATTTATGGTGTGACATATGTAATATTGTCTATTTTTCTTACGTTTCCTGAGAAGAGGTAATATATAAGAGTATTGCAGATGCCCCTGCTCGCCCGGGTGTCCGGCCCGTCCCCGCCGTGTCCCCGCCGTGTCCCCGCCTGTCCCCGCCCGCCCCCGGCCCCGCTCCTGCCGGGGCTCTGCCTCTCTACCTCCACCTCGCCGGGAAACCGGGGGCGAGATCCCTTCCCCAGGGTCTGCTCTCCTTTCCACTCCACTCCCTGCTGGTTTGCTTTTTTCTTTTTTTTTTTTTTTTTTTTTTTTTTTTGAATTATTATGATTTTTTTTTTAAATTTTAATTAAGAATAAAACTACCCTACAGAACCTTGCATTGAAACCAAAAGCCGAGGGGAGGGGAGGGAGGGCACGGCGGTGACGGGCGGCCAAACCAGAACGACAGCTTTAAATGTCAGATTTCCCAAAAAAAAAAAAAAAAAAAAAAAAAAATTAAAAAAAAAAATTGTGCTGCGGGGAGGATGGAGCGGCCGCGGGGCTGCGGTGATGCTGTGGGGGCTTCCCTGGGGGTTTGCTCCGAAATGGTGGCGGTGGGGACCAAGGGACGTGTGCCACGTGCTGTGTGCCCCTCCTTTGGTGGCACCTCGGAGGTGGCAGCGTGGCGCTGGCACAGCCTGGCCGGGGCGGGGGCTGTGGGGCAGCCTGGGGACACGCGGTGCCACGCAGGTCCCCGTGGCTGCTCACAGCTCCCGGTGTCCTGCTCCGGTCGCGGCTGGGGCAGGGGACGGCGTTGGGGACACGGGGACAGCGTGTCCAGGTGCCCGTGCCCGCGGGGAGGCAGAGCCCAGGGCGCTGGGTGCTGGTGGCACCAGGCTGGGAGGTGGCAGGAGGGACGTGGCTCTCTCGGGGTCCCCTCTCCAGCCCCGTCCTCTCGTTCCCAACCCAAAATCCCCGCTGAAACCAAAGTGCCGCGTCCCGGCGAGGCTGGAGCAGGGGTCCCACGCCTGCCTGGCTTTTGCTCCATCACTGCCAGAGCCCCCCGAACTCCCCCTGCAGCATCTCCTCCTCTTCCTCCTCCTCCTCCTCCTCCTCCTCCTCCGGGGGCTGCTGGGGTCCCCCTCCGCATCCCAGCGGCTCTGAGGCTGGGGACAAGGTGCCACTGTGTGCCCCGGTCCCAGGCACTGTGATGGGGTGTCCCCCGTGCGGTGGCAGCCCCGGGGGCTCCTCCGATGCCACCGAACGGCAGGGCCCGGCAGGGAGGTGGTGCCGGTGTCCCCCGTCCCTGCCGGCCGCTTCCCCGAGCCCGTGCGGGGCTGAGCCCTGTCCTGGCAGCCCCGGCATGGGGACACCGGGGCACGGGGGGGCTGCAAAGCAGAGCCCCCCGCCCGGGCCAGGCGTGGGGCCAGCCCACGATGAGAGATGACGTGGTAGGACTTTCCTTCGGCATGCTGTCCCCCCCTGCTGTTCCCCGCTTTCTCTAAGTGTACTGTATGTTTGACCTGTGAAAGATGTAAACTTTATGATTCAGGTTATGTCTGTTCTTAACTCTGTATCTGTGTAATAAAGACAATTTAATATCAACCAGAGGCTCCGTAGCTTGGACTTGTGCTGGGTGCCCTCATCCCCCACTCCTGGCATTGCTTTGCACTCTGTGCCCCCACTCCTGCCTCGGGGGGTTCATTACAGCCCTGGGGCCGCTCACTGCAAAGGAGAGGAGTCCATGGCGGGGTAACTCAGCTGTGTCCTCGGGGCACTCAGAGGCATGTGTCCCACCTGTGGCTGCAGCTCCACCCTTGGGGTGCCCCCCCAGCTTCCCCTGCGCTGCCAGCTGGCCGCACCAGCGGGCTCGTTGAGCTGGGAGGGACAGAGGGGCCCTGCCCACCCCGATCCGCCCCAGCTGAACGGCGCTGGGAGGGGCAGAGGGGCCCTGCCCACCCCGATCCACCCCAGCTGAACGGCGCTGGGAGGGGCAGAGGGGCCCTGCCCACCCCGATCCACCCCAGCTGAACGGCGCTGCCGGGTCTCGAACCCGCGCACCCGGGACCGTCCCTCGCCGGCTGGGGGGGGCGTGGCCTGGGCGCGCGCCCCGCCCTGATTGGCCGCTGATGTGTGAAAAGTGGCGCGCGGGCGCGAGCCCCGCTCGTGGTGGCGGGAGAGCCGCACGTGGTCGCCGCTCGCGCGGGCCGCGCGCAGCAATGTTCGGGGGCCGGGCTCGGTGCGTGCGGGGCTCGGGGCCGCGGGGCCTCCGGACGGGCACCGCTCCGGGCACAGCTCCGGGGCACGGCTGGGCACTGCCGGTCAATGCCCGGGCACCGCTCCGCGGGGCTGCAGCCCGGGCGGCTCTCCGCTCCCCTGGCTGGGAGGGCGTGTCCCTCCGTGCGCCCCTCGGGGGTTGGGAGGGTGCGGCTCCTCCTCGGCTGCTCGCTCTCTGCAGCGCTGCCGGTGGCCGTGTGCTGCCTGCCCGTTCCCTTCCCTACCCGCCGGCCGTGTGCCGCTGGCCGCTTTTCCGCTTTGGGGCAGCTGCTTCCCTGTTCCCTGTGCAGCCCTCGTGAGCTGGGAATCGGCTCAGTGTGCACCGGGGACCTTTTGGCTGCGCTTTGCAGTCCTGGGGCTTTGCTGCACAGAGAAGCAGCTGCATTAATGTCACCTCTCCATCCTCCTGCTGGAAACGCCCTGCACGGCTCTGCCTGGTGGAGGCCGTGCTTTGGCTGAGACGTTAAATGGCTGTTGGTTCAATGCCCTTTTGCCCCCTCTCCTGCCCAGTCGTCTCTTCCTGGACACTTCGGAGATCTGGTGGCAGGACCCACCGTCCCTGCAAGCGGAGGCGGCGCCCTGGGATGTGGCCGAGGTGGCAGCCGTGTGCAAGGCGGCAGATGAGGGCTCAGAGCCGAGCCCCCAGGAGGGGAACAGCACGGAGGAGCAGGATGTTCAGGACCCGGTGAGTGCCTGTCGGCATGGGGAACCAGCTTTCCAAAGGAAATGGGCACCTTTTTACACCTGGGGTGTCCCTGCTCCGAGTGCTGCCTCTGAAATTCTTGGTTTGGGATTCAGGAGCTGGAGGCCATCAAAGCCAAACTGCGGGAAATCGAGAAGGAGGATGAGAGGCTGAAGGAGCTGCAGCTGGAAGCTGAGAATCACCTGTTCATGAGCTCAGAAGCAGGTATGGGTTGTCACAGGGTGCTTTTGTCCCTCCCCAGGGACACCTCTGGGGCACAGGGTGACAATTGGAGCCAGAGTATTTGGCTGTGCCTCTCTGGGCACCTGGGACTGGACACATAAGGTGGGTGAGGGGAGTTCAGGCCTGCTAATGCACATTCTATCAGCTCTAACCTCCTACCTATGCGAGCCCAGATGTAGTAAATTAATTTAATTGCATTTAATTCAATCAAGTAATTGAGTTTAGTACCAACAGCCCCAGTAGAGGAGTCACAGTGAAAAGAAAAGGGGCAAGGGGGTGGAGGAGGAGGCAGCAATGTGAGGGTTTGGATACACCTGGCTGTGACCAGGGATCTGAGGAGCTCAGGGGTGGCTGTGCTGGGAACAGACAGATGTCCCTCTGTCCATGACAAATCCCTCCTCTCCACAGCTCTCTTCCCACTGACAACCAAGGAGAAGATGGAGGCTGACCAGCGTTCCATCTATGTGGGCAATGTAAGTGGGAGCCCCTGCTCAGTGCCCAGCTGGGTGTGTCCCGAATCCCTGGTGTGGATCTGCCCCTCCCCAAAGCCTGGCTGTTCCCATCCCAGGTGTTTCTCCTCTGCCCAGCCCAGCCTGGGAACGTGGCTCATTATCTGCCACTTGCAGCTCATCTGTTGCAGGTGTCAGCTCCCCAAAAGGCCCCCTGGAAGCTGTGGGTTGTGTGGTGTTGCCTGTTCCTTCAATACAGGGCAGGTTGTCTGTTGGATTTGTGTTCCAGGTGGGAGCACTCAGAGCTGGGAGGGTCCCCTGACCCTCAGCAGGGGCTGAGCTGTGCTGGGGGGTGAGTGGGGCCAGCTGGGCCCTTTGCCTCCCCTGCTGGATCTACTGCCTTGAGAGGCTGGTCTGGAACAGAGACCAGACAGAGCTAAATGGACAATAGAGGTATTTACTGAAAGGCCTTTAAAGGACACACCTTGGGCAGCACAAGAGCCTGGCCAGGGCTACACCCAGGTTGAATCCAAGATGGATCCCACTCACAAGTTTTTACACTTTTATAAGTTTTGGTTCATCTACACATTGGGTTCAGTTGCCCAATTACAGCTTCAGGTCATGAAGTCTCAACCCCCTGCCTTGCTCCCTTCCCTTCACAGCTGTTTGTGCATTATGGGAAAGGTTGTCCTTGACTCTCCAGCTGGGAAGGGATTGTTTTGTCCAACCACCCTGTGAGGAGACCCTACTAACACCTCATAGGAAGTTTCAGAGTTACACAACAGGCAGCAGAGAACCTGAAAAATAGAAAACCTAAACTCCAAGGCATCAGAGGCCAGAGAGTTGAGGGCTGGGGCTGTCATTGCAGGTGGATTACGGGGGCACAGCAGAAGAGCTTGAGTCTCACTTCAACAGCTGTGGGCAGATCAACCGCGTCACCATCCTCTGTGACAAGTTCTCGGGCCACCCCAAAGGGTCAGTGCAGTGTGCAGGGGGGGCTGGGGGTCTGCAGGGTGTCCCTGGGGCTCTGCTCACACCATTGCCCACAGCTATGCCTACATCGAGTTTGAGGAGCAGAGCTCCGTGAAGGCTGCGGTGGAGCTGGACGAGAGCATCTTCAGGGGCCGTGTCATCAAGGTGAGAGCTGGGAGGGCCCTGGGGGGTTCTCCCCACCTTTCCCAGCCCTGCCTGCCTGGGGCTGGGCCAGAGCCCAGCTCCAGCAGCCCCTCCCCACCCTGCAGGTGCTGCCCAAGAGGACCAACATGCCCGGCATCAGCAGCACGGACCGCGGCGGCTACCGGGGCTGCTTCCATGCCCGGGGTGGGCTGGGCCGCTGGGGGGGCCCCTATGGGCAGCAGCCCCGGGTGAGGGGAAGGACCTACAGGTGAGTCTGGGCGTGGGGGCTCCTCAGGTGTGCAGCAGGAGGGGCTTTGCTGTGCCCCTCCCACCCCGGTGTGGCTGGGAGGATGGAGGAGGGCTCTGGAGGGAAGGAGTATCTGCAATGTTGGAGTTGTCACCCTGTCCCTGCAGGATTTGGGGAGTGGTGGGTGGGCATTGCACTGCCAGCCTGACCAGTCCCAGAGCTGGGCCTGGCTGTGAGGTTCCCCTAGTTTAGGGGGTGTAGCCAAGGGGGATCCCAGGCCTTGGAAGGGTGAGGGAAGGAGCAGGGAGTGCTGCCCTTGTGCTTCAGGGTGTTGGTTTTGTTCCTGTCTAGGGGTCGGGCAAGGCTGCTGCCTTGGTATTTTCCATACTAGAAGAGGCTGGACTGCCTGGTGATGCCAATGGGACTAAAATGAGGAGATGGGATTGGAGAGATTTAAAAATATGCCTGCCCAAGCCAAAAAACAGATTAATTTTAAAAATGCCATCTGCCTGGCCGTGAGGATTACTGGTGAGCCCCGTGCTGGGCTGCAGGAGGGAAGATGGGATCTGCTCCATGCTGCCAGCACCCAGGAGAGCTCATCCCACCTCAGCTCTGCCCAGAGGGCTGTGTTTGCACAGAGAACAGGCTCATTCCAGAGAGCACTGTCCTGGGAAGGGAAGAGCTCTCCCAGGCCATCAAGACTCCTCCTTATCCCATGGAAAAGGGCTGTCCTGGAGGCTTTGGACCTGACTGCATGCCTGCCATGCCACTGCTTGGCCATGAAGCTCCTCAGCTCTTCCTACAGCAGCTGCATGCTCCTCCTTCTCTTCCTCTAAGAACCTAAAGACTGTTTCCTTTCCCAAATCCATGGAGCAGGTTTTGGGTTGCAGCTCCAGATCTGATTGCTGGGGAGCTTTTCCTTCATCAGCCCCGGGTGTGACCTTCCTCTTGGGAAGCCTGATGTGCTTTGGGTCTGGTTTTTAGCTCGCTGTGTTTGTACATCCAGGACAGGGGAAAAGCATCTCTTGTTTCTTTGCGAGCCTCTGTATCTCTGTGGTAGTTAAACAAGACCTGGGTGTCACAAAATCCTTCCTCTTTTTTATTTTAGCTGTCAGCAAACCCCTCTTCCCTCCCTCCTGCTTTTATTCCAAGCTCCAGGGGTCAAAGGGTGCTGGTAACTCCTCACTTGACTTTATTTCTTGCATAGCAGCATTACAAAACCACCTTCACTGGTGCAATTTGGTCTGGTCTCTTCATTCCCATCACCATTCCTGCTCTGGAGTCACATTTGGAGATGGTGGGAGCCCTCCTGGAGGCTCAGGACCAAAGAGCACCACAGGAGCTGGGCACCAGGGAAGTTGAGGGTCCTGGCTCTTCCCTTTCCTGCTGGATTTGTGTTTATGCAGCCCCATGTTTTTAAAGGAAAAGCTTTGTGTTAGAACGGGCAGGCTGGGAACCCGGGCAGACAGCATTCCTGGGAGAAGTTCTGCATGGAAATGGGTTTTATTATGTAATTCTCCCTCTAATCTTTCAGGATCCTTGGTTAGGATTCCTCTAACCCAGATGCAGCAGATGCAACCCGACTCCTAAAGCAGCTTTTCACAGCTCAGGGGCATTGCCAGGCTAAAAATCCCACTGATTTTTTTTCCCCTTTAAGATCTCTAGATTTTTTTAAAGCTTGGGGCCTTAACTCTTCATGTTGTGTTGATATTGTCCTCAGAGCTGCTGAGACTGACCTTGGTTTGAGCTACCCTTAGGCTTAGACTATAAACCAGCTTTTTCTAGGGCTTCTGTTTGATAGGATTATACATTTTTGAGAGTTATTTTTTAATAAAAAACTACTTTGGGATGCTTGGACTCTCTTGTGGAAGAGGCAACACTGAGCTGCCATCTCTGTGAGTGAAAACAGCCAAATTTTTTAGAAGAAAATGTTTGTGGATAACAGTGCATAGCTGTGCCTTGTGGAGATGGTGGGAGAGGCTTGAACCTCCCATGATATTCCAGGTGGTTGCTGATAAAATGTACTTTAGTTCTGTTTGAGAAAGTATTTGTAACTGTTACTTATTTTTAAAATAAATGATCCTGCTGTGTGAAGTTCATGTGCAGTTCTGGCTTTGTCCAGGCTCCTGGGATCCCCTGGGGCTGGGCAGATCTGTTATTTTTAGTTGGTTTCTGTGGTTTTGAACTCAGGAGGTGCCTGCAGTAGAGCTGTGTGTGCCTGCATCTCCTCTGCTGAAGCAGGAGTGATGGAGCTGGGGTGCTTTTCAGTGCAATTTGTGCTTGATTCCAGATAAATACCTGCTGCTGATTTGGGAGTCTGTAATTAGAGCAGCAGGGAGCTGCAGGGGAGGAGATGTTAATGGAGATGAATATGGGATGAGCCAGGCAGCTGTGCAATCCCGATGGCTCAATCCATGCCTGGATTGGGTGGGTTTATTCCAGCTGCTCTACCTGGGCTGGGAGCCACTGTGCAGTGTGTCTGGATGAGGTGCAAAGTGGGAACAGCAACCTGAGGCACCCAGGAATCAGCCCAGGCAGGGAAACTCCTGGAAAGGTTTGGGTTGGAAGGGACCTTGGAGCTCCTCTTGTGTCAGGGGGGCTTGGAGCAGCCTGGGACAGTGCAAGATGTCCCTATGAGGTGGCTTTAATGTCCCTTCCCACCCAAACCACGCCATGAGGCTGTGAGCACTGGTTTGTGTTTGCTTGAGTACAAATCCAGGCAAACCTTGCAGGTGTCAGGTTTATTTTACACAGAACAAATTTAAATTATTACATAGAATGGAATATTTACAGCACTGCAGGCATGCTCCTGCACACAGGGAATGTTTCCCAGGGGGGTGGGAAGGGCTTCAGCACACCTGCATCATCATGGAGTTCACCATGGTATCAAAAGCCCTGGAGAGGGAAATAAACAGAGATTATTAAAGGAAGCAGCTCATTCTGCACAGCTTTTGTAACAAAACCACTTTCTCACCCTGCCTCTGCCTGGCTTTCTGTAAGCTGGACATGAGGCTTTCCTCTTTACAGCACAAGCTGTTGAGGGATTAATGACTTTTAATTAAGCTGAGGTAAGGACAGGTCTTATCCTGGCTGCTGCTCTGTGGCTGCAAAGTTGTTCTTGCCAAGGCCACAGAAAGTCCCAATTTATTGAAATTCCCTGTGAGGTTACAATGGGAATGGGGGACACTGACCCTCACAGGTGAGGAATTCCATGTGCTGAATGTTTGTCCCTCCCCAAGGACAAACCCTGGACAAGGGCACTTGTTCACTCTTTAACCTGTTCTACTTACTACACTTTAATATTCACAATTATTAAATTTGCAGAAGACCTCTAGGACCATCAAGTCCAACTATTGTTACCTCTATTTTCAGGTAGTTTTTTCTCCCCCCAAAAATACATTTTCTTGGCTCAATGTTTGTAAGCCCAGTTCTGAGGCTGTGAGAATTCAGTAGAACTTTTTATGACACCATCAGTTTTTCATGAGTAGGAATGGCCCCAAACCAACACCACCGTTCTCATTAAGGCTCCTAGAACACACACCTGAGCTGGCCAACCACAGGTTGGTTCTGTGGCATCAGAGGAGCCCTGAAAATGCCAGGAAGGTGTCAGAGATCCATGTGGGCAAGCCACTCACCTGGAATGGATCCTGTCCCCGGGGTTGTAGAAGGGGTTACACATGATGTCTGTGTAGGAATTGTGCAGCTTCCGGAACATCTGCAAAGGGAGGAGAGGTGAATCCATCAATTGTTGGCTCCTCAGCAGTCCTGGGGAGCTGGGAGGGCCAGGGGGGCTGTGCTGTGGGGCACTCACGCTGCGGATCTCGTTGTCCCTCAGGGCTGTGTTGGAGGAATCCACCACCATGACAAACTTCACCTTGGAGTTGGTCACGTAGCCATAGCTGGGCAGGGGTCAAGGAGCTGCTCCCACACAGCCAGAAAGCAGCTGGACTGTGCCCAGAGGGACAAACTGACAGGAAACATGGGGGAACCTCCTCATGAGGGGCAGGCACAGAGCTGTTCTCTCTGTGACAGGGACAGCACCCAGGGAATGGCTGCAGCTGGGCCAGGGCAGGTTTAGGGTGGAGATCAGGGAAAGGTTCTTCCCTCAAAGGGTGCTGGGCACTGCCCAGGCTCCCCAGGGAATGGGCATGGCCCCGAGGCTGCCAGAGCTCCAGGAACCTCTGGACAATGCTCTCAGGGATGCCCAGGGTGGGGTTGGACTGGATGATCCCTTCCAGCTCAGGATATTCTGAGATTAAATTAAACCCACAATGGCCTGGCCCAAGGCTTGACAAAGATACACCTTGTAGTCTTCAGTGGGGTAGAGGAGCCCCAGGTAGAGCTCCCTCTGGTCCACCAGGGCTTTGCCCATGGCTGAGATCTTCTCATCCACCACGTCCAGGGAGGTGTGCACGGTGTAGTGGAACTTCAGCTCGTTCTCTGTGGGGACACTCCGGATGTACAGGGGGTAATTCTGGGAGCAGAGCAAGCCACACTGCCTGGAACTGCTGCTGCCAGAGCTGCTTAACCCTTTATGTTCCCAGCACAGCACCTCTGGAGCACAGCTGTCCCCATGGCAGGAGAACCACTTGCACAGGCAGCACACAAGGCTCAGGTCTCTGTGCTCTCCTGTCCCAGCAGAGCCTGTGCCTGTCTGTCCCAAGGAAAACCCCTCTGTCCATGCAGCAGGGCAGCCCAGAGCACCCTTGCACTGTGCCTGTGCTGGCTGCCCCAGCCCTGCTCCTGCCCAGCGCATTTCCCCCAGTGGCTGCCCCCTGCTCTGTTCTGCTTCCCTCACCCCCATCCAGACCCCACAACCCGAGATCCTGCCCATTCCCCTCTCCCCTACCCCACAGCCCCAGTCCTGCTAAGACCCTAAAACCAGAGTCCCTCACCTTTTCCCACACCCCACTGATCTCTTCCACAACCTGAGGCCCAGCCCCTCTGCCCTCACCCTTCCCCAGACCCCACTAATCCCCTGTTTTCCTCAACCCCACAACCTGCCCCAGCCCTGCTCAGACCCCAAAACCACAGTCCCGGCCTCTTTCCTCTCAGCATTCCCCAGACCCCACTGACTCCCTGTTCCCCTCAACCCCACAACCTGAAATCCTGCCCTTCCCCTCTCCCATACCCCACAACCTCCTCGGCCCTGGGGAGCCCCGGCCCTGCTCAGACCCCGAAATCACAGCCCCGGCCTCTTTCCCCTCACTCCTCCCCAGACCCCACTGACCCCTGTTCCCCTCAGCCCCACAACCTGAGGCCTCTGCTCCCCGTTCAACCTCGCTGCTCCACCCGGCCCCACTCAGGCCTCATGACGCCATCTGGGCCCGCTGTCCCGCTGTCCCCCCGTGTCCCGCTGTCCCCGTGTGCCGCTGTCCCCCCGTGTCCCGCTGTCCGCACCTCCTTGGCGATCACGGCGATGCACACCGCCATCTTGGCCCCGCCCCTTCCCGGCCCCTCCGGGTCACGTGGGGCGCGCGCGGTGTCGCGGTCACGTGGCGCGGCGCGGTCACGTGGCGCGCGCGGCCCGGTTGCCATGGCGAGCGCGGCGCCGGGGCCGCGGGGCCTGCGCTGGGCCCTGGGCCCGCTGGGGCTCTGCTGGGCCCTGCTGGGCCCCGCCACCGCCACCGCCCCCAACATTGTCCTGCTGCTCATGGACGACGTGAGTGCGGCACCGCGGGGCCCGGGGTGGTGTCGTTCCGCGGGGGGGGTGACATGGAGGGACGGGTGTGCGGGGCCCGGAGCGCTGTGCGGCTGAGGGGGGACCGGGAGCCGGGCGGGTCCGGCTGAGGGGGGGACCGGGAGCCGGGCAGGTCCGGCCGGGGAAGGGCAGGCTGACAGGGGTGCCATCAATCCGTACAAACGTTCCCGTGGGTGCCACAGGACGGTGCCAGGCTGTTCCCAGGGGTGTCCAGGGACAGGAGGAGCAGCAGCGGCCACGAACCAAACCCGAGAAGTTCCCTCTGAACGCGAGGGAGAGCCTGTGCGCATGGAGGGCGGCAGAGCCCTGGCACAGCTGCCCAGGGATGTGAGGTCACCTGTATGGAGCCATCCCAAACCCACCTGGACGTGTCCCTGTGTCACCTGCCCCACGTGTCCCTGCCTTGGGCTGGGTGATCTCCAGAGCTCCCTTCCTACCCAGATGATTGTTGATCACAAGGAGGGGCTTGGTGACCTCCTAAAAAACTAAACAAGGAAAGTAATTCTGCTCATTATGGCTCTCTGAACTGGGAAGAGAAAAAATGACAGTAGATGATTAAAGAGCTGAAATTATCACAGTTTTATTTCTAACTCAAAATCTTTTCAATTTCGCACCCTTGGCCACATTGATAAGGAATTATATTCATTTCCAACACATTCAGGTCGCTGCCATCTACCCAGTTTGCTTCTCTCCTAATAATTTCTTGTCCCTTTCCAGGTGTGTTTGTGGTGGAAATGTGTTTGTTGCTGTTTGAAGTTACCCAAGGAGCTCACGAGGGTGGGCAAACCTTCCCTTTTTGCCAGTTTATCCTGCCCATTGTTCCATGGTGTTCCCACATCCCTGAGCAGGACAATCCCCTGCTTTTCCAGCCAGCTGAGCCTCTGGCAGGGGCTGCCCAGGCAGGTTTGGAGTCTCCAGCCCAGGAGGTGTCCAGGGAAGGACTGGAGGTGGCACTCAGTGCTCTGGCCTGGGGACAGGGTGGGGACTGGGCACAGCTTGGACTCTCAGAGTATTTCCCAAGCTCAGTGATTTCAGTTTTCCATTCAGGAGTGTTTCCCCCTCCCAGGCTGGCATTTGTAATTTTCCAGAGGAAAGCTCTCTGGGACAGGGGTTCTCCCACTCTGGAAGTGTTGGTACAGCACAAGGCTCCTTCCTGTCTGCAGCTTCTGTGAACTATTGATTTATTTAATATGTTCATTACAAACACCTCTCCCTGGGTTTTTTCCCTTCACCCTCTGTGACTCTGGAATTAGAGCAATGTGAGATTCTTTTTGTCTTTCTTCCTTGATGATAAAGCAAAATCAAGAACTTGGGGGTGAATCCATTGGATCCATTTTAATCCCTTATCCCAGAGGGAACCATTTAATTGCTCCTTAACTCAGAAGCCATCTCTGCAATGATTTCCTTGTCCAAGGGGATGGCACCAGGTGGTTCCCTGAGGATCTGGATGCATCCATGGCTCACCTGACACACACCTTGCCTTTCCCAAAGCACAGCAGAACCCCCAGCACCTGTGGTGCTCGTTGAGCTGCTCCCTTCCAGAACCTTCTGCCTGGAGCTGAGCTTTTGCCAGGAATGGTTCCCAGCAGGGAGCACAGAGCCCTGATGGGAATGTTGTGGTTCTCCTGGTGTGTGTGACCCTGGGGATCAGGAGGAAGAGCAGGGTGGAGGCACAGCCCTGCAGATAAGCACAGGGACTGGTGCTGCCTCTGGCAGGTTCCTCTGGCTTTTCCTGCAGTGCTGCCTTGGAGTTCAGGCCTTGTCCTTGTGTTTTCAGTCCTGCAGAGGGACAGGCCCAGAGGCTGAGGTGGAATCCTGGCCTCCAGCACAGACAGCAGGGCAGGCACTGAGGGCTCAGACATGGCAGCTGCACAGCCCTGAGTAAACCACGTGTAACTTCCTCTTCCTCCTTGCTCCGGGTGTGCCTCAGGCCTCTGAGTAACAGTGAAGGCACTGGGCTTCTTGCAAGTGCTTTAATCCCTGTTAATAAATCATTTAATCCTCAATTTCCCACCCACCAGGGGAAAGTGTGAGAGTTCCCTGCTCCACAGGGCTGGCAGAGATCATTTGTGTCACATTTGTGTCACATTTGTGAGGTGATGAGTAGGGAGATGAGCACTGTAAACATTTATAAATTAAAGGGTACAATGAAAGTGTTACGTGGGCCCAAAAATGTGCTTGTGGAAAGGACTTTGACATCTTCTGGTGTGTTCCTTTTACAGATGGGCTGGGGGGATTTGGGAGCTTTGGGAGAGCCTTCTAAGGAAACCCCTAACCTAGACCAGATGGCTGCAGAAGGGATGCTGTTCCTGGATTTTTACACTGCCAGCCCCCTCTGCTCTCCCTGTAAGTACACTGCACTTGGAACCGAGTCAGCATGAGGAACATCTCCTCCCTCTGAGGGGTTTGGGGTGTTTGCCAGCCTCTGACGTGGGCTAACAACCAAACCAGTGCCTGCCCTCAGGCCAGAGATCAGATTTGCTGCTTTGATCTCGCATTTTGCTCCCTTCTTATTTCTGTTTGGATTGGAAACCCGACAGCCCTCAGTTTGTACAAAGCACTGCTTCAGTGATCAGTGCAGCTGAAGGATTTTTGTACCATTTCAGTTCAGTGCTCCAGCCCCAGTCTTTACATTTTTTTAATCTTTCTCATTTTGGGTTAAACAAAGCAGGATCTGATCTGTTGCTGGACATATTTGGTCTGATTCTGTTGGCTCTGGTGAGACTTTCATGCAAGGAAAGGCAGCAGTTTGTGTCCTGCTTTTGACCCTGGTGTCTTACAAGACTCCTGGGACAGGGACAAGAGATAAAAGGAACGTTTGGGTCTGGGAGAGGCAGATATTTTTCTCCTTGTTGTTTTTTTTTTCTGTGAGGTGGTTTCTTTCTTTTTTTCTTTTTTCCCTGATTAGCTGCCAAGAACTAAAATGAAGCAAAAATGAAGAACAGGGGCTTTTTATTTGGGCTCTCATTTAGGATAGCACTTGCCAGTGTGTAGATGATGTCCTTGCTCAGAAAAGGCATTTAAAATATGCTGAAATCCTGCTAAGCCAGTGGTGGCACTGCATATGCTTGAAGTTAAACATCTGTTTAAATATTCCCTGCAGTCAGGACTTGACTTTTATTGTCAAAGCTGGACAGCTCTTTCTTTATATTTCATGATTTTTGTTCAGTCAAGCTCGAAAGCTTAGCCTTGAGCATCTAATCAGTTTGTGCTAGGATTTCCTCTTAAATACATTATAAATATATATATAACTGAGCTGTAAGGGTTCCTCCTTTGACTATTCAAAGCAATGACTCTTCAGTGTGGCTAATTTAATAAAGGGGCCAAATTTCAGCTGGAATAACTCAAATGATGCATCAGAAGTGATTCTCCCCATGGCTCATGGGAGAGTGTGAGTGATTTAGTGGCTGGTTGTGACAAGGGGACACTGACACACTCCAGTCGGTGTGCAGCCCTCATCCTCCTACAGTGATATTATATACCAATATAATAGCTATATTCAGGTTTCAATTCCTGGATATGAAGCAGAGAATGGCTGTAAAGAAGTGCTTGTGTTGTTTGCAGCAAGGGCAGCCCTGCTGACGGGCCGGCTCCCGGTCAGGAACGGCTTTTACACCACCAATGGACACGCCAGGAATGGTAGGAGCCTCATCCCTCACCTCCCTTCCTCTCCTGATTTCCCTCTGGGCCTTGCAGGAAGTTTCTCTTTGGACAAAGGGGATCTTCCCCATGGATGTTCCAGAATGCCACCAAACCCTGTTAAGTGCTGTAATAAGTGTGAATTTTATTGCTTCCTCCTTCTCAAATGAAGAGGATAAACCAGGCTGCTTGATCCATTTGTTTCTGCAGGCTGAGAAATGTTTCCTGTGGGCAGGGGAGCTGGCGTCTGGTGAAGGACAATCAGGTGGGGGTGTAAAACCCACAGGGGAGAGCTGGCTGCTCACAGGTTTATTCAGCAGGCAGATTTCCACCCAGTTGCAGAGCAGGTTTCCATCCCTCGTGCCCCTGGTGCTTCCAGGGAAGGTCCCTGGGTTGGTTTGGGTCCCAGAGTGACAAATGCCACGTGCTGGGACGTGGCTGGGCAGGAAGCAGCAGCCTGGGGTTGATTCCCTGAGCACAGTCACACCTGAGAGCCTCAGAGGCTGAGGGACACTCTTCATTTCCCTCAGAATCACAGAGTGAATGAGGTTGGAAAAGACCTTTGGGATCATCAAGTCCAACCCATAATAGCAGATCAGCCCTTGCAGTCTGAGCACCTTTATTGGTTATTTGGGTTAGGAAAAAGCTGCCTTCGTTTTAGAAAACACAAAGGAAATTTGCAGCATAAAGACCACTCCTAAAGCACCTGATTTTCTATGACATCTCCCTTTCAAGGGTCTCACCTCCACTCTGGGGTGGCTGCTCCCTATTTCATTTGCCCTCGTGCATAAGTGGGTGGAAATGTCCCTTTGGTCTCCCTGGATCAGTTTATTCTCTCTATCCCATGGGAGGACTTCCAAGGAATGCCATTGCTGGGACTCCAAATGAGTTGCTACTTCTGATCCAGTACATGAGCTGTGTGCTGTAATATTTTGAAGAGTCAAAAAGGTGGTTTTGATTTGTTTTCCACAGCATACACACCACAGGACATAGTAGGAGGAATCCCAGATTCTGAATTACTGCTTCCAGAGCTCCTGAAGAAAGCTGGTTACACCAATAAGATCATTGGCAAATGGTAAATTTATTTGGAGGTCTCTTGCTTTGAGATTTCACTCTGTGTGTGTTGGGAAGGAGCAGCAATAAAAACAGAATTACAGGGGAAAAAAAAAAAAAAACTGTTTTGAAGCTGAAATGTCCAACTTTGGAAAGTGTGATGGATCTTCCCCCTGCTGAGATCAATTCCTGAGTGTTCCCATTACAAGTGCTTACACATGTCTTCATACAAAGAGTTGATGAGGTTTTATGTGTGTATTTGTATTTATAAACTCCTCAACTCTGGGCTTTTATCCACACCTCACACCACTTATTTGATCAGAAAACACCAGGATATTCTGTTGGAATTTGCCTTGAGCATCTACGTGGTTTTCATCTTTGACTCTTGCTATATTTTGGGACTTTATTAGTGAACTGAATTCCTGTGGAAAGTAACAGGAATTTCTTTATCAGTTTCATTAATAAGTTAGAGAAGACTGAGTTTGAATTGTGCTTGGATTCACCTGCTGGAATTGGGAGGAAAGCAAAGCACCCTAAGACAGTGAATTATTTATCAGCACAAATCCAGGCAGGAGAATGGCCTTGAGGGATCAGCTCAGTGGGCTGGGTGCAATCAGCTGCAGTTCAGTGCTAATAAATGGAAATTCATACACCCAGGGAAAAGGAATAAACAAGGCAAATGCAGATTGGTGCCAGTTCCTTGGAAAAAAAAAGGCAAATCTGGAAGGACCTGCAGCTGTTAGCAGGAATAGGACTAAGTAGGAATGTGCAGGGCATTATTGTGCATCCAAAAACTTCTCCTGGTCAGGGCTGGGAGTGATACCCTGGAGAGGTGTGAAGAAATGCAGGGTAAAACTGGGGTCTCATCCTGGCCTCACAGAGGTTTTCCAGCAGAAAATTTTCTTATTGTTTCATCATCCCTTCTATAATCTCTTCAGGGTGTCCTGTGACAGTAAATTCCACGGTTTAATTATAAGTTTGCAAGTCAAGTATTTTCCATGACCAGTGAGGAATTTGTTGTGTTTCATTAAATCTCAGTTTTTTGTGCTGTAAGATGCAGAGACTGATCTGGATCTCAGTCACTGTTTAATGTCTCTGTAAGTTCTTTTAGGGCTTTTGTAGAATGAGATGTTTTTTCCATCTGCCCTGTTGTAGGAACAGCCAGGAATAACTTTGTGTTCCCACATCTACAAAAGGGGAAGGGATGGAATCCTGCAGGTCAGACCTGCAGTGGCAGTTACATCACCAAGCTGTAACCAGAGCTGAAATGAGGATTCTTTCTGTAATAACTCATTTGGAACAGCTCAGAGTAACTCCAAGGATCGTTTTACTCCAGGGAATGCATTTTATGCCCTTTATGCTCAGAAGGTGCAGAGGAGGGTGACACAAAGTGCACAGGGGCAGATCCAGGCTCATGAGGGGAAGATGGAATGGTTAAATAAACATTGAGCCACCAAGATCCCCATTAGAGACAGAGAGCACGGGGATTGTGTCTTCAAGGTGCTATAAATGCAGGAAATGTAGAATTTGCAGTACAAAACCTGGAGATTAGAGAGGAGCTTCATCTGGAAGTTAAGGATGGAAGATTTTCAAGCTGCACAGTAGAGAGGAGCAGTCATCAGGAGTAGCTAAATGTGTTTTATGTCCACATGTGCACACAAAAACCTCATTTCATTTCCATTCAGGTCTCTTTGTACCGTTTTGGCAGCATGAATGCTCCATAAAGGGGATGAGGATGGAATGGTGCATTTCATGAGCCCTGCCTTGTGTTTTTACAGCTCAGTGGGATAAAAGGGACTTGTCATAGATCAGAATCCTTAAGTGAAACATTATGTGCATCTCTGCAGTGGTTTGGGGCAGTGTAGTCCATCAGTGCTGATCATCAGACAGCATGGGAGAAGACACCAGTGGAAGGAAAAAATGGAAAACAGTGATTGGAGAGTAAATAAAATGGAATATAAGTGAGCACTGGGGTGAGTCTGCATGGCTGTGCTTGCAACAAGTGTGAGAGAGCTCAAGACACTGCTCTGGAGTCATTTATGTGATTGAAATGCTTTGAGTTTTGATTTCTTAGGCAGAGACTGTGTTCTTGCATGCTGTTCTGATGAGCTGAGGTGTGGCTTCTGTGCAGTAGAGGTTTGACTGTGACCTGCTGTTTCTGTTGCCAGGCACTTGGGGCACAGGCCCCAGTTCCACCCCCTGAGGCACGGCTTTGATGAGTGGTTTGGGTCCCCAAACTGCCACTTTGGGCCCTACGACAGCAGCGAGCGCCCCAACATCCCCGTGTACAGGGACTGGGACATGGCTGGCAGGTAACCTGTGGGCAAGGGAGACAGGACAGCCTTGTAAATGTCACTGCCTGGCCTAGGATTGTGAGAAAATGGGGACTGTAAATGAGATGGAAATGAAAGCAAGCTTTGAGAAACCTCAGTTACTGAACAACTGGAAAACAATGGCATGGCCACTGAAGGTGATCCCCTATTCATGGAACAACACCTGCAGGCAGCTCCAAGGGTCAGAGCAGACCCTACAGCTTGGCAAAAGGGGCCCAAAGAGGAGTTTTCAGGGTTTAAAATGTAACCCAGTGTGGTAATGTAATGATTCTCACAGACTGTATGGAAATGCTGTAGGATTTGTATCTTGTACTAGATTGGTTAGTGAGAATCAGAATATTCAACACAGATTTATTGTATTGGAACAGGAACCTCGCTCTCTCATCCTCTGTTTTGCTCTCTCACCCTTTTTACCATGCTCTTGCCTTCTCTCTCTGTACCCCTCTCTTTACTTCCCTCAGTCCTGCTCCAGCTGTGCCTGGCAGCTCCCAGCAGGGCCCTGCCCCCAGGCCCTTTGCAATGAACCCCAAGTTCCTGACCTGGCTGCAGAGATCTCTCATCTCTGTCTGTCCCCACTGTCCTACCCCATCACTCCTACATAAGCCAGCTCCTGGCCTGCCTCTGGGCTGCTCTGGGCTCTCCCTGCTGCCATGACACACCTGCATGGGCTTTGGGAGTCCTTCCAAGCCAGAGCATTCTGGGATCCTCTGGTGCTGTGGTTAATAAAGGTCCAACACCAAGACCAGCCTGGAAGTGTCATGTGGACGGTGCAGGGATGTGGAGCTGCCCTCCCAGAGATGTTTGCTCATCCCTGGCACCCTAAAGGCTTCCACTCTTGGAAGCTGCTCCCATTCTGTACTGAAAGACCTCTTTGTTCCTTCTCTTCCTGTTTGGAATAACATTTTGTGTGTTTGCATAGCTCCATTCCCTGCTCCCAGTCTGCAGTCTGGGCCCTTCTTGTCCATTCATTTTTCACTCTGGTGTTGTCTCATTTCACTGCTGTTATTCCCCTGAGCACTTCCCCAGGCCCTTCTCTGCTTTACTGTTGGCTGAAGATCCCTCTAAAATAATGTTTCCAAAGCAGCCCAGGTTCTGCTTCCAGCATTTCCCTGTCTCACTGAAAGTTGTTGTGTACTTCTGAAATTTTATTCACATTTCAGCCAGCTCTTTATGAATCACCAGGAGATTTTGAAGCATTTTGTCCCCTACAGCAAAAGGCCAGTCCCTCAGGTTTGTCCAAAACTTTAAGTCATTAATTTGCATCAAGCTCTGTCACCACTTTCTCCCATAAGAAAAATTATGGTGACATATTTCTAATATCTGAAGAGAGTTTGCTGAGTGTTAACTGTGACTTGTTTGTCACCTCCTTACACAGAGGAAAAAAATCCATAAAAGGGGAAAAAAATCCTATTTCTGATGTTTATTCCTTAGGATTGATTTTTTCCCCTCTCTGATTCCTTTTATCTTAAGATACTATGAAGACTTCAAAATTGATCTGAAGACAGGTGAAGCCAACCTGACTCAGCTCTACCTGCAGGTACTATTTTAGTGCTGGCTTCTAAGCCAAGGTGACTTTTCTGCTTTTTTTTTTTGGAGAAATTTTGATGGCAGAGGATAAATTCATTTTTATTGTTGTTTACAGGAAGCTCTGGATTTTATTAGCAAGCAGCAGGCCAGCCAGCAGCCATTCTTTTTGTACTGGGCAATTGATGCTACCCACGCTCCTGTTTATGCCTCCAAACAGTTCCTGGGCACGAGTCAGAGAGGGCTGTAAGTTCTGCTTTTTGGGGTTGTTTTAATTAATTCCTCCTGCAGCTGCCACAGCCAACCTGAGCAGTGGTTGGTAGATCCAAGGCATGGATCACTCCTCAAGTGTGTGTGTGCTGAAATGCATTATTTGCTTGAATTGTTGTTTCATAATTTGGCTTTAACCTGAAGTGAAGCTCATGTGACCCCAGGGGGAGGAGGGGGGCTCTAGGCTCCTTTGCCAGTTGTGTGAGGAGTGAAATGCTGTCTGTGGCACAGATGATTTTTTAGGAGGCTTTTGTATGATCAGTGCCTCTTTTAAAAGCCTATAAATGGGACCAGCAAATAGAAAACACTCCTAAAAAGGCAGTTTGGAGGAGGCAAAGAGCTCTGTAGACACTGGGAGTGTTGCTTCAAAGAGTTTCTAACCATAAGGAAAACCATGTTATTACCTCCCAGTCTGTGGCAAGGTGGGTTTGCCTCTGTTTGTGAATTTTATGGCTGAATTCCTCTGTCCAGGAGTGGCTCACAGCTGAGCAAACCCTGACCCTCAGTACCCAAGGGCTGCTCTCTGCAGGCCAGAGACACAAAGGTTTGCAGTGGCAGCAGAAAACCTGATGCATGAGAAGGATTTCTGCAGCACAGGTACAAATGAAATCTGAACACGTTGTGCTGACCCTTTTTTTGCTGCTCTGAGTGTTTTGCATCTCCTTTTGCCTCAGGTATGGGGATGCTGTGAGGGAGATCGATGACAGCGTTGGGAAAATCCTGAAGCACCTCCAGCAGCTGGGCATCAGTGAGAACACCTTTGTGTTCTTCACCTCTGATAACGGGGCTGCTCTCATTTCAGCTCCCAAACAAGGTGAGGCTCAGCTGAGCAAACCTGGCCTTGGCAAATCAAGGCTTAAACCTCTCTCTCTTGAGGAGAAAAAAGCCCTGTGTGTGGAGTCTGTGTTATGAGGTAGGAGAAGCCTCAAAAGACAGAGTATTTATGTTGGGAATAATTTATGTTCAGTGCTTCTGGTCACTGTTGGAGGAGGTGTCCTTGGCCAAATGGAATTTTTCCTTGCCCCAGTGTTGCTGCTACCTGTGTGTATTTGCACTGTCAGGGAGGGAATATTCTGTAATTTACTGGGAACCAGGCTCAGTAACTTAGCAGGGTGTTTACTCTCCATCTGCCAAATGCATATTTCAGCCTTCTGAGCAATTAGAGAGACTTCAAGGGTCCCTCATTCTTTAGCTCTCATGAAAAATATCAAGAAGAGAAGCGAGTTTTGTTAGCTAACAAATTTTCTTTTGTTTAAGTGATGGTTTCTCTGAAACAAATCACTGCAAATTGATTTTAGAACCTGCTCTCTTCTCTTTGGAGCCAGGCTTGGCTTGTGGTTATTGAACCACAGAGCAGGGAGTAACCTGAGTTCTGATTTCAGCTCAGCTACTGGCTTTGACTTTGTGTGACCTGGAATCAGTTATGAGACCTCCCTGATTGTTCTTGGCCAGCTGAGCTCCAGGGTTGGGTTAAAACTCCAGATATTCCTGCAAAGCTCTGGCCATCTCTGAGTGACCATTCGGGGAATGCAGAATTATTTTTCTCATTCTTACACCTTCATCTAATATTGTTCTGGTACTATAAAATTTAAAATCATTATGAAAAAATGCTGTTTCTGCCTGAAAGTGTCAGATTTCCTTTGGTTGCAGACAGGAGTTAACACCCTTAGAGGAAAGGAGAACACCAGTGAGGTAGTTCCTGTTTGTTTGGGGCTTGGTTTTCATTTGGTTGTTCATAGCAAGGTGTGTTTAACTGTCACTTTCTCCCTGTGCTGAAAAGACACTCCTAAAATTTCATCACAAATGGATATTGAAAAAAAAACCCTCACGAACACAACACAACAAACAAGGAAATAATGACAAAAAACCCAATTCTGGCCACGTCCTTTGAAGAAGCATCCATGCAGAAATGAGAATTCATTTCAGACCAGCCTGGGTGACAGTGTCCTTTTGAAATGCTGGTGTTTTGTGGGGTTTAAGGCTTTTTTTCTGTCTCTAGGAGGAAGCAATGGGCCTTTCCTGTGTGGCAAACAAACCACCTTCGAGGGTGGCATGAGGGAGCCGGCCATCGCCTGGTGGCCCGGCCACATCCCTGCAGGAGGGGTGAGTCTCTGCCTGGGGCACTTCTCAGCAGCCTGGGGGGCTGCAGGGAGTGCAGAGCTCCTTGCTGGGCTCAGGGGGCTTTGCTTCACACTTTTACCATGCCCCAAGTCCGAGGGTTTGTGTGAATAAGGAGCTGCTGCTGCCCCAGACAACTGTGCCATTTTAATGCAAATTCGCATTAAAATTTGTGCTCGGTTTTGCTGTGAGGCTCTGCTCTTGTCTTCCTGCTCTTTTTAACCTCTTTACTCTTTTGGACCTTGATATTTCTCGTGTGTTTGAGCAAACTGGAGTATAAAGAGCAGGAATTTGCTCCCCACACTCCCCATGCCCTGAGGTACCCAAGGGTTTGACCCTCGCATCTCTCACTTTGGTGCTTGATGAAAGTTCCACTCAGGGAGGTTCAGACACCACATGATTGCTCTGTGCTGCCTGTACACAAATGCAGATATGATCACTTCAGAATAACCCCCCAGTGGCACTGCCAGCCCCCCTTGTCCCAGCTCTCATTACAGAAGGATGCAATCAGTCCTGCTGCAGGATCCCAGGGACAGCACAGCCCCCTCCCCCTGGTGAGCATCTCTGAGCCCTGCAGAAAGTGATCCTTCATTAGCTGGGCACCATGCTCCAGCCTGCAAACTGGTCATAAATAAAACATTTCTGGAGGTTGCATTCCATTGGGGTGGTTTAATTGAGGCAGGCTAATGATAATTTATCATTTACATTTAGGAGGGACCATGAGGCAGCTCAGATCTGCAGCTGAGGGCAGGAGGGTGGTTTGGTTTCATTATTTTTCAAGAGTTCACCAAACCTACCAAGGATGGTTTATTATTTTTCTAATTTGAAATGAAAACAGTCGTTTTGTTTAAATTTAAACATTTCCATAAAGCCTTTGCAAGCCAAGTACAACAGCCCTGGGCTAGCAAGGGAGAACATGAAACTGCAGCTGAGTGTTTTGTTTGCTGGGTCCAAACTAAATAATGTGCTAAAAGTAAACATGCATTATAAATGGGGACAAGAAAATGCCCAAATTTAAAAATTCTTTCCATTGTAGTAACTCTGAGGATAATTAAGAACAGGAGGAGAGAGAAATCCTTGTGCCTGCTTCTTTTCTGCCTGGCTGGGACCCCTCTCCCAGGTAGATTTTGGGAGCTGCTGCTTGAATTGCTGTGCAGAGCTGTGTGTGTGTGCAGGGTGGGCTGGGCAGCTCAGCTGTGCCTGGAGCTCCCAGATTTTGGGATGCACCCAAAATCTCTCCTCCACCATGCCAGTGTCAGCCTTAAGCACGTGCTCACCTCCTTATCTGCTGCTCAGGAACTGTGATAGAAACTCACCCGTGTTTTCTGCTTGTGTTCTTGCCTTCGAGGCTCCAGCACTGCTCCCTCAGCAGCCCTGACCACAGGTGAGAGATTTGTGTCCACCACTGCATTTTTGGCTTTTTTTCCTGTACCTTGCTGTAGCTTCACCATCCTCTGGAGGAGATTTAACTGCTCAGCCCCAGGTAGCTGTGAAATATGGGAAAGCTGCTTCAAAGTCTCTCATTGCTCCTACTTGATAAGAGTTGAAGGAAGCAAAGGTTTGGGAGTTCTGAATTTCAGCAGAAAGCTGAAGGGTCAAGTCCTTCCTGTGCTGGGTTTGCTCCCAGGGCAGTGGTTTGAGGAGCAAGGGAAAGGCCAGGAGCTGTTGCAGGTGGAACAACTGCAGCCAGGAAAGGAGAGTTTGTGTCTCTGGCAGTGAAATCCAGTTATTGTGTGGAAAGCTCTGTCTGCTGATGGGAATGCTCCAGGGAGACCTCACTGCAGCCTTGCAGTGCCTTTAGAATGGAGGGAAAGGGACTTTTTATATGAGCAGATAGTGCCAGGACAGGGAGGAATGGCTCCCACTGCCAGAGGGCAGGGTTAGCTGGGATATTGGGAAGGAATTCCTCTCTATGTGGGTGGGCAGACCCTGGCACAGGTGCCCAGAGCAGCTGTGGCTGCCCCTGGATCCCTGGCAGTGCCCAAGGCCAGGCTGGACAGGGTTTGGGGCACCCTGGGACAGTGGGAGGTGTCCCTGCCATGGCAGGGGTGGCACTGGATGAGCTCTAAGGTCCCTTCCAACCCAAACCATTCCAGGATTCCACCTGGCAGTTTGTTAATAATTTTATTGATCCATAAGGCTGGGGGGGTTTGTTTTTATTAAAGGGCACATTAATTTAATAAAAATACAGGAGCACCAGGGTCTAAACACAAGGAGTGAGGGACAGGGAGGGAGCACCTGCCAGGCTCTCCGTGGAGCTAGGGATAATTGGTGCAGTTGGCTGGTTTGCAGGTTTTTGGAGGGGAAAGATGCCTCAGGAGTGTGTTGCTCTTGGCATCAACACTCAGTGAGTTCTGCTCCCCACCAGGAATATTTATTCCCACACAAACAGCCTGGCTGCACTTCCCTCCTCGGCTCCGTTTTCCAGGTGAATTCACAACAAATCAGCGTTTCAACATTCCCCACATCACATCTGCCTTCTGGAAGGATCCAGCTGGAAAAAAAAAATCATATTCTATTGGTATTTGAATCCTCCTCTCTCCCCTCGCCCTCCTCCCCTTCCTCTCTCGTGCCTGCTTCCTGAAGGAGAAAAGAACATATCAACCCAAAGACAGCATTGCAACCTTTTCTTCCCTATCTCCCATGGGGCGCAAATTGAAATTGAATTAGACAGGGATATCAGGTCTGCTCGCTGTGATAACTGTAAAAGGATTTTATTTAAAAACACCCTGACATTTGTTCACCCAGTTTCAAATATTTAGCTTTCCTCCTTTCCATTCCTGGCGGGGGCGACTTTATTAATTGTCGCCTTTGATTCAGAGTTAAAGCTTGAAAGCACTGATAACAGCACTGGGGACTATTTCTTCCAGCGCCGTGGCCCACAGCAAAAGGATTTCATTTTCTTAAAGACGTTGTGTGGATACTGAGAGTTTATTAAAAAGAAGGGGGGGAAGGAGGGGGAAAAAAATCCGTCCTTACGTGCGTAATACCGGCTGTTCCTCACTGATACAGCAATATCTGATCTCCCTCCGTTTATATATTATTTATTTTCTCTGGGCTGTTGCCCTCTCTGGATTTTTCTTTTTCTTTTCTTGAAAAAAAAAATGAAATAAATAAAAGGGAAAGGCAACTAGAATGAAAGAGCCCTGTTGACAGGAGAAAAATGGTAATTTTTTTATTTTTTCTCTGAAAATACTTCAAAGTTTTATATAAACATTAACCTTTTTTTTTTTTTTCCCTTTTTCCTTCTTCAATGTGGTGCTGCAGCGTACAGATAAATCCAAGTGGCTGTGGCATGGGCATTTAATTTCCTTAAGAAGTTTTCTCTGCTTCACGGCAAAAATGTTGTCTGAGAGCAGAAACGTAATTGGATGATTAAAGAGAGTCATCTACATCTGGTGCTGGTTAATAAGGGCCAGGACAAGGGGAGTGTGGTGGCCCCCCAGGAGTGTCCCCACGCTCTGGATAAATGAGGTGACATTAAAGGCACGAGCCCGGGGTCAGCAATTGCCTCTTATCAAAAGATTGAGGCGCTGGGACGGAGCCACAACAGGAAAAGTGATTTTTGGATTAGATGGAGAAATTGTGAGAGCTCTGATTACAAAAGGGCTCAGCCAGGGGCTGGGTGGGGGGAGCAGGAGGGGTTGGAGCTGCTCCTTCTGCAGCTCTGCAGGTGGGAATGAGCCCAGGGAGGAACCTCCAGGGCTGGGAGCTGCTCATGGGCCCAGCTTCAGCCCTGGGGACAGGGCTCAGAGGGACCTCAGCCGTGTCCTTGTGCAGGGACAGGGCTCAGAGGGACCTCAGCCATGTCCTTGTGCAGGGACAGGGCTCAGAGGGACCTCAGCCATGCCCTTGTGCAGGGACAGGGCTCAGAGGGACCCTGGCCATGTCCTTGTGCAGGGAGAGGGCTCAGAGGGACCCTGGCCGTGTCCTTGTGCAGGGACAGGGCTCAGAGGGACCTCAGCCATGTCCTAGTGCAGGGACAGGGCTCAGAGGGACCTCAGCCGTGTCCTTGTGCAGGGACAGGGCTCAGAGGGGTCTCAGCCATGTCCTTGTGCAGGGACAGGGCTCAGAGGGACCCTGGCTGTGTCCTTGTGCAGGGACAGGGCTCAGAGGGACCTCAGCCGTGTCCTTGTGCAGGGACAGGGCTCAGAGGGACCCTGGCCATGTCCTCATGCAGGGACAGGGCTCAGAGGGACCCTGGCTGTGTCCTTGTGCAGGGACAGGGCTCAGAGGGACCTCAGCCATGTCCTCATGCAGGGACAGGGCTCAGAGGGACCCTGGCCATGTCCTCATGCAGGGACAGGGCTCAGAGGGGTCTCAGCCATGTCCTTGTGCAGGGACAGGGCTCAGAGGGACCCTGGCTGTGTCCTTGTGCAGGGACAGGGCTCAGAGGGGTCTCAGCCATGTCCTTGTGCAGGGACAGGGCTCAGAGGGACCTCAGCCATGTCCTTGTGCAGGGATAGGGCTCAGAGGTACCCTGGCCATGTCCTTGTGCAGGGAGGGGACAGGACAGGGCTCAGAGGGCCCTCAGCCATATCCCCAGGGAGTTCCATGATCTCAGGGAGTTCCCCCTGGACATGAGGCAGAGCTTTCCTCTGTGCCCAGAGGGGCTGTGGAGGTCCCTCAGGGGACACCCAGAAGTGCCTGGACACCATCCTGTGCCCTGTGCTCTGGGATGGCCCTGCTGGAGCTGGGAAGTGGGACTAGATGATTAAAATCATTTTAAGGAGAGGAAAAGGCTGCACTAAAATAAAGAATAAATGTTCTCCAAACCCCATCCAAGCTGGCCTTGAGCGCTTCCAGAGCTGGGGCAGCCACAGCTTGTCTGGGAAACGTCTCCCTTTGTGCCTGTCCCCAAGGCCAGGCTGAGCAGGAGCTTTCCCAGGCTGTGGCCATGGATAAATCATGGATAAATCCTGAACTGAGGGCCCTGTTGGTCATGGTCAGCTGATCCAGCTGCTTTCCCAAGGATTTCCAAAGCCAGGTTCCCTCTTGTGCTTCAAGCTTTGCACTTTGTTTCCTCCCAAGGAATTGTGGCAGGATTCTTGCATGCAGCTTTAATAAGATGTGTTCCTGCCAACACCTCCTGATGAATGAAAGCCATTAAAAATTGAAATGACTGTAATCAAGTAATGTGATATTGTAATGTTAAACTTGTAATTAGGCCCCTGCATGTTGCTTTCTCCAGTTCTTTTTTTTTTTTTTAATTTCTTAATTCTTCCTTTGTGTTCACTTTGTTCAGCCCAGCCTCTTAATACAAGGTTTAGTATCCCCTTTTTTTCCCTTTATTTTTGAGCTAGCATCTCATAAAAGTTCATTTATCGTGTCATCATTTGTTGCATTTAAATAATTTGTGTCAGCTTAGGGGCTGGGGCTCTGTTTGTGAGTAGAATCAGAGGTAAAAGGTCTTTGATAGTCCCAAAATTGTTCTGTTGAGATTGGACTTGGATTTTAGTCAGAAAGTGCTTTGGTGCTCACAGCTGTGGGGTTGTATCCAATGGTTTCTTGTTTCCCAACAAGTGCTGTGGCTGAAAATGCTCTTTTCCTGTCACATCTTGTGCTAGTGCATCCTGGTGCTCCTGATGTGGCAGCAGCTGCTTTAAGTGAGTGTGTCACTGACTAATTAAACACCCTGCAACAACTCCCACAATCAGGGAGGGAGCAAAGGCTCACAAAGAATCAGGCAGAACAGACTTTGGAGGGTTTTAAAATATAAATAATTAAGAGCATAGAGATGAGTATGGCTTCCAAGTAAGGAAAAAGGGGGAAAAAAACCATTGCACATCTCCATTGAAGCCAAACCCAGATGTTTTTCTCCCTTATTAAAATATGGACTAAAAATACCACAACTTTACAGTTCTTGAATTGTTGGAAATGGTTTGCAGATGAAGTCATCAGGCTCTTTTTGTTATTATCCATCTATCCCTGTGCTTTCTGGGAACTCTCTCAGGGTATTCTGGACACCAGAGTTGACCTGGAGAAGGGAACAAATCAAGGACTTTTTTTCCCTTGGTGTAAGTGCTGATTTTTCAATCCACAAATGAGCTGGAATTTGCTAAATTAAGTTGAGCCCTGTGACAGCACACTCCTGGAAAAGGGATACACAGGAGTGAGGAGAGGAAAATGGAGAAAAAAAGAATAAAAAATGAAAATTCTCCCTGGAAGTGGAGAAATAGGGATTGTTCCCTTTGCTTTATTGTTTTCAGAGGAGTTTACTGATGGCTGCAGCAGTGTAAAGGGAGAGGTTTGCAGGGTGCTTTGGAGGGAACGTGTTTCCACACAGATTTTCCTGAAGGGCTCTTTGCAAACATGTTCCTGTTGGTTTTTGGTTGCAGGTCAGCCATCAGCTGGGCAGTGTGATGGATCTGTTCAGCACCAGCCTCTCCCTGGCGGGTCTGCAGCCTCCCAGTGACAGACAGATTGATGGCATCGACCTTTTACCTGTCATCCTGCAGGGCAAGCTAATTGACAGGTCAGTGATTATCCCAGGGCTGCCAGCCCTGCTCCTGCCTGAAGGGATGCCAGCTTTGGGGCTGGGTTTTTATCTCCAGCTCACAAGTATTTAATGGGAGCTGAGTGCAGGCAGCAGCAGAGCTTCCCCCGAGCTGCTGCTCCGCTGGAACAGGCTGAGGTGGGAATTCCTGACATGTGGCATGTTGCCATACACTGGAGTCTGGGGACAGATGAAAATGTCACAGGGTTAGCAGGGATCCCTGGAACAACATATGGCAGGAGGGGAGATAAAAGCCTGAGAACTGGAGCCTGGCTGGGGGACAATCCATTATTTATCACTGCAAAAGCTGCCCAGAGTGTGCTGGGTCCTTGTCCTGCTGCAGAGCTGGGAGGGGAAGGCTGTGCTGCTGCAGAGGACCTGGAAACACCAGGAAAATCCTCTTCCCAAGGTCCTGGGAATGCTTCTGCAGGGATAGCTTTGGGTGAGAGACCTGGAATCTCTATGTGCTGTCAGTTCTTGGGCACAGGCACCAAGATCTGACAGCAAATCCTGCCAACAAATATTTTATTGGAAGTGTCAGAGGTCAGGAGAGGTCTTGGAGTTGGGATTTTGGTGAGGAATTTGGCAGCCTGGGAAATCTGACTGCAGTAATTTTCTTTGGGAGATAGCAAGGAAACTTAGGCATGGAAAACATTTTTGGAGCTCTTTTCCTTCTTGGATGAGAGCCTTTGTGCTGTGAAATTCCTTTTGTGCCTCTTAAGCAAGGAGCACACCTGAGTATTACAGGAAAAGCCTGGCCCATCTTCTGGAAGTTTGGAAAATTTCTTTGTTGTTTTAAAAGGGAATTTCAGTGCAGTCACCAACCCCTTGCTTGTGTTACAATAACAGTCACTCAAAGCACATTGTGGCTTTTCTTTTCCTTCTTTTTATTTCCTTTTTTTTTTCCCTAGACATGACCAGGACAAAGTCTTCACAGCCCCCCAAAAACTTTCCAGGAAATGCAGTTTTTGTGTTCTTTTAAGCTTAAAAAGGAAAAAAGTGAATGGGGAAAAGAAATAATTTATATCAGAATACTGAGTACAAGCTGGAATCCTCCTTCAGAATAGAAAATGTATTTTTTTACCAGGAAAAACCTAAAACCTTCAGTCAGGAGGGCACATAATAACTGATCAAGTGTTGGCTGTTGATGGCAAGGAAAAGGAGACTGGAGTGCTGTGTGGAATATTTTTGGGAGGTTTTGATGATGGCACTGGTTTAGATCAGGTGCTGCACATTGGCAGCTTTGTCTTGCTGCCTTTATTTCACTTCACCGCCTTTTATTTCACTTTAATGCACTTCCAGGTGCATTAAGGATGCAGGAATGGGATTTTCTGGGAGCAGCTTCCCCTTCTTCCTGGGGACCAAGTTGTTTCCCCTTTGTTCCTCTTGGTGACAAAGGAGGGAGGCTCCTTGTTACTGTGAGGCTAAAAGAGCTCTGAGGCCACTCCTGTCATTCACACAGGGATATTTAAATTTCACCTTGCATTTAGGGACAGGTTTTTTCAGGTGGCATCACCAGAGTGAGTCATTTTTGGAGTGGCCTCATCTGAGAAGGAAAGACAAAGGTTCCCCCTGACAATGACAAACAGCTTCACCCTCGTGTCCTGTCAGCAGCCCAAAAGAGCTGGACAGAGGAACTGCACCAAAAAATCAACCCCCTCTCCTGAAGATAGTCCCTTCCAGTAAAATTTTGTGCTGTTCCCTCAAAAAAAACAGGAGTGTTTTGTTGGGAAAACCAGCAGGAATGTTGCTGGGATGCCCAGGGAGCAGCACAGATGCAGCGAGTGAGATGCATTTCCTGGATGAATTATTAATTAGGGAAACCTCTGGGAGCAAGTGCAGCTTTAGCAGCGTGTTTACATGCTGCAAAGTGAGGTTTGGGGGGGAAAAATGGAGAGGAATGAAAACCACAGCATGTCTGGCTGCCAGGTTTTTCCATGTGGAGTTTCTCAGAGATGTCATCCAGAACACGCCGGCATCTGGTGTCCTCCTGGCCACCCTGCCCGTGTGGCACTGCCAGCTCCACCCTGCCCGTGTGGCACTGCCAGCTCCATGGCCGAGCTGGGCAGAGCAGCCTGAGCATCCCAGAGCCCCTGAGTCCCTTTTTCCTGGCAGGCAGGCACTTGAGAGCTGGCTGACACTGGAACCGCCACGCTCCAGAGGAAATCCCAGGGGCTGGGAGTTCAAGGATTAACAATCACTGGCAGCCAAGCTGGATAATGTTTCATTCTTGCACCCTGTGAGCCCTCAACTTGATGAACACTTTAAGAAATGTTAATTGAAAACCTTGCAGAGGAGACTATTAGGAGGCAGCCTGTTCCTGCCTGATATCCATATGGGAAGTGGGATGCCATTAAGGGGTTTGTGGCCCTTATCAGGGGGCTGGGCCCTGCCTCTTGGTGTTTCTCATGCAGCTCTGCTCTCCTTCCAGGCCCATTTTCTATTATCGTGGCAACGAGCTGATGGCAGTGAGAGCTGGGCTGTACAAAGCTCACTACTGGACCTGGAGCAACTCCTGGGAGGAGCACAGCAAGGTAATGGCACAGGGACCTGGGATCCTGGGCACAGACACCCTTTACACTGGGGGATGTCACCATGCTTCAGTCCCCTCAGAGCTGCCAGAGCTGCTGTGCAGGTTTCTGTTGGCTATCAGGAATATTTCTGCCCCAAAAGGGCTGCCCAGCCCTGGCACAGCTGCACAGGGAGGTGGTGGAGTCCCAGCCCTCCTGTTTAACAGGATGTGGCACTTGGGGACATGTGGTGGCCTTGGCAGTGCTGGGGGAACAGCTGGACTTGATGATCTTAGAGGATATTCCAACCTAAAGAATTCTGTGATCCTAAAAAATCCTGAGGGGACTGGACCTCCCCCTCCTGAAACCAGGTACAAAGAGAGGAAAACGAGCAAATTCCAAGTTGTTCTGAGGGATGCTCCCTTTAATCAACCCTTAATCCCCCTCAATATTAAAGCTTCCCTCTGAATCCTGAGCTTTCAGATGTTCACCTGTGGTTGGACTCCCTGATCCTTGTGGGTCCCTTCCAACTCAGGATATTCTGTGATTCTGGGAAAGTCTGGAGCCTGGTGCCACACTGACCATGAGCCTCACAATTCCTGGCACAAAACACCTATTTTGAATTATTGAAATGGAACTGGGATGAGTTTGTTGGGTTTGTGATGGTTGAAAAGGAAAGCTGTAGGAAAGGCACAGTGGAAAATACAGCAGGGGTTGAAACCAGTGAAGTAAACGTGTTTAATCTGTTATCAGCACTTCTGTGAGCTCACATCACACTATGTACACCATTTGATTTATTTTATTTATTTCCTGGCTGATCTCCTCACAGTTAGATGTTAAGCACTATTATTTCCTTTTCTTTTTGTGTCTTTCTTGGCTCTAATCTCTGGGGCATTTGCTGAGTGGCAGCTTCACACGTGTGCCTTGCTGCAGATCCCTTCAGACAGGAACCCAGAGCACTAAGGCCCAGCTCTCAGCACTCCTGACAGCAGCCTGGGCTTGGGGAGGGGTTGTTTGCATGATTTAATTTTTTTTATGCTTTTTTTTTTTTTTTTTGAACTTATGGAAGGTCCTCAAGGCATCACAGGTGCAGAACTAAGTGCTGGTGACATTTGTGGATATAAAAGTGCAGGGATTCTTTCACTGGGATGTCCTGGGGGTAGAAGGAAGTGTCAGCTCCAAGGGAGTCATTTCCATTCAGGGCTGTAAATGTGTGTGTTTGTCTTTTTTCAGACTGCAGTGCTTCAGGATTTAAAGCTTGTTTTACAGGGAGCAGGCAGGAAAGGAAAGTTGGCTCTGGAAATGTTTTTTATGCTCCGTCTCGGTGCTAATTCCACACAGATAAAATGAGATCATTTATTTGTCTTGTGTGTGAGTAAAACCTGTTTATCACCCGTGCAGGGTTTTCCCTGGGTGGGAGGAACTGGGAGCTCCTCTGTCTGTGTGTTTGGGTGCAGGGGTGGCAGATTCCCACAGCAAGCCTCGCTCTCCGTGGTGATAAAAGCACAAACCCTCATTCCAGTTGGGAAATAAATAAACCCCTGCATGGAACTCAACTCATTCCTCCACGTCTGAGTGTGGAACAGTGATAATGGGGACCAGCTACTCCTTCCAGAGGCTCTCCCACTGTGAGCAGTGGCAGTGCTGCAATTAAGGAATATTTATTTCTTTCCAAGTCTTTGTTTAACTGCTGTCTGATAAAAGTCAGCAATTATCCTGTACATCAGAGAGATGATTACAAATCCACTCTCTTTCCTGCAGCTTGGATCACATGAGCTTGATGTGGGGAAAATTGGAGCACATTAGTGGCCAGAGCAGCCATTAACAACACGCAGAGGAAGCTGAGGCTGAGATTTGTTCCAATTCTCCTCATGTCTTCGAGCCATTAATTACAAACCTCGCAAGTTTAAAAATAGAAATAAATCAGAATGCAGAGCAGCTCCACAGCTCCCAGCCCTGCTGGAGGAGTTTCTAAGCTCACCTTACAACACAGTTCCCTCTTTCAGTCACTGGGCTTCCCAGCTGTGTTGATATTGGACTCTGGAATCAAAGAGGCCACTTTGTTTGCTAATTCCATTTGAAAAACAACTATAAATCCATGCACATCTGTGGCATTTGGAATTCTGACTGTTGGCTGTTTGTTCAATAAGGTTGACTTGCCATCCCAGTAGAACTCCAGCTAATGAGGATTTGTTAATTGTATGATCTTTAGAGGTCTTTCCTCATTGTGAATCCAGTGAGACTTCCAGATACGAAACTCTCAGTGTGAAGGTCCCCACTCAGACCTGGAATATGTGGTTTTCCTGTCATCCATTGGAAAGAGAGCTGAAGTTGGCCAGATGTGGCAAAACAGCTGCCTGCCCATTTTGGAGAGGTTTGTTTTATGAGTAGGGGAATATTTCATGGTTTTGACAGACTTTAGCCAGCCCTCCTTGCACTTTCAGAAGTCCCTTGGTAATTGACTGTGTGGAAAATCACTGATACAGTAAACTTGCCCCGGGTTTAATTCCCATTTTTTGTTTGACTTTTAGATGGGATTATCTCATTAAAGCAGCCACAGCCCCATTTTCATGCTGCTACTGGAAAATGGGGAGCTGGAGCAGGATGGTGAGGGAGGATGTGGAAAGCTGTGTTTGATGGGGTGTGAGTTGGTTCAGTAATAAAGGATGTACACACAAATGAAAACCTACCAGGGACACACAGCCTGCAGCAGGCACAGCAGAGCAGAGCAGGGCTCTGAAGGCTCCTCTCTCCATCTGGCACTCGGAATATTTGCTCTGGAAACATCCCGTGCAGGCAGCACACAGGTTTGCTGTCATCCCCCAGTCCCATGACAGCAGCCTGCCCTTACTGGTCTGCATCCTCTGCCTTATGGCCTGGGATTAGGGCTTGTCATCTGACACACAGATGAATTGTGCTGTTCTGTTCTTCCCAGCTTTTGTTTGTTTATTTTTTAACCCCCAAGCAATTTTTTTTTTTTCTAGTCTGACTCCTGTCAGGAAGTCTTGTAGTCTGTCTCAGTGCTGGAGGATACCTTGATGCTGCCTTTTCTGCTGGATTAACTGGATTTCTTGATTCTTGAGGGGGTGGTCTCTTGAAGGCATGAAGGGAAGGCTCACTCACAGAATCAAGTGGGAGTAAGCATTTTGTGGGACATTTTCCCTGAGGATTGCACAGGATGCTTATTTGGAGCTGTTTACCTGCCTTCCATCTATATAGGTGGCTCATGTTTACATAATTTGACATCTCTGACATTCAAGAGGTGATAAATGGGACAGAGGGAGATGAAAGGAAGCCTGACTTGAAAAATGTGTTTGTATTTTTAAACAGTTTGATAGAGGCAGAAAAATCTGCCTCCTGCACGTGGGCTGAGTCCCTGCTGCTCCAGGACTACTGGATATCAAAGCTTTTCCATTGTTGTTCACCTTTTTTCCCTTGTAGCAAAAATCAGCAGTGATGAAAATAGCCATGTGTGCAGGAGCAAAGGGAGAACTGAGGATAAACCTGGGGAGATCCCTCTTGGACAGTGAAAACACACAGGACTTTTACTGGCAGCCACCTGTCAAATGCTGGGGTTTTTGAAAGTAAGGGTCTGAAAGGGTAAAAAATGGGTATTTTCTATAAATTTACCAGAATAGGCAGCAAGTCTTCAGGAATTTCCTAATGTAGTGCTGCTGGATAGAGGAGGCAGGAATGGAGGCAGCAGAAAGGAAATTTCCTTTTCTCTGCCTCCCACCAAAAGCATCCAGCACAGAGCAGCCCTTGTACCTCCCAAGAGCACTGAGGCAAGAAGGGGGAAAAAATAACGAAGGAAAAAAGGTGGGAAACGCCCTTTGGTTGTGGGAGAGGGGCTGATAACATCAACCTTTGTGCTGTCAGCTTGTTGGGAGCCTGCCCTGGGATTCCTCGAGCTGTGGCTCTAAAGCTGCCGCTGTTGTTTTAATGCGAAATGCCAGAGGGGTTATTCCAGTCAGGCTCTGCCGTTGCCCTTCTCCTGCACGTGAAGGGATCGATAAAGCCTTTTCTGCACCGGGGATGTGAAGTCAAGTAGAACCTCACAAATAATGACATTTGATTTTGGTCCTCTGAGCATAAGAACCAGGCATCGATCGGAGCTCGCTGCGCTGCCCATCCCGGGGCTGCCCGTCATTCCCAGGGGCTGCCTGTCGTTCCCAAAGGGCTGTCCATCATTCCCAAAGGGCTGTCCATCATTCCCAGGGGCTGCCTGTCATTCCCAAAGGGCTGCCCGTCATTCCCAGGGGCTGCCTGTCGTTCCCAGGGGCTGCCTGTCATCCCCAGGGGCTGCCCATCATCCCCAAAGGGCTGTCCATCATTCCCAAAGGGCTGTCCATCATTCCCAAAGGGCTGTCCATCATTCCCAGGGGCTGCCCGTCATTCCCAGGGGCTGCCCGTCATCCCCAGGGGCCGTCCATCATCCCCAAGGGCTGTCCATCATCCCCAAGGGCTGCCCATCATCCCTGAGTGCTGCCCATCATCCCCAAGGGCTGCCCATCATCCCTGAGTGCTGCCCATCATCCCCAAAGGGCTGCCCATCATCCCCAAGGGCTGCCCATCATCCCCAAGGGCTGCCCATCATCCCCAAGGGCTGCCCATCATCCCTGAGTGCTGCCCATCATCCCCTAAGGTCTGCCCATCCACAGGGTCTTCCCATCCCCAAGGGCTGCCCATCATCCCTGGGAGTGCCCATCATCCCTGGGAGTGCCCATCATCCCCAAAGGGCTGCCCATCATCTCTGGGGGCCACTTACCCCCAAGGGGTGCCCATCATCTCTGGGGCTGCCCATCCCAGGGGCTCTTCCAGCCTCTAAACCCATCAGCAGCAATTCTGGGTGCACAGGGTTGAAGCCTGGCACCCCCACTTGCAGCTGATCCCAAGGGGGATTTCTCCAGGCATGGCCAGGAGGCCAAGGGCGCCGTTTACAGCAAGAAACAAAAATTCCAGGCTTTAATTGCCAGCTGTGCTTTTCTGCTTGCAGTATTCACCTGCTTTTGGTGCCCTGCTGGTGCTGGGGGGTGAGGAGAGCAGAGCAGGAGGCAGAGCTGGGCTGGGCTGGGCTGCAGCCAGGCTGAGCAATTGCCAGAGGGCTCCCGTTAACACAAGTGGTGATTCCATCTCTTGGCAGGGAGCCCAAACTGGCAACTGGCTGTGTTTGTCTCATGTCTATATTGACACAGCATCTGTGGGCCATTTGCTCTGGAAATTAAAGCTGTGCAACCAAAGGCTGCTGCATCCCAGGGATGGAAAAACAACCCGGGCTCTGGGATTGCTGAGAGGGCCAGGGGTGGTGATGGCTGGAAGGCTCACCTGGTGGGCAGGGAATGTCATGTTTTAATCAGAATCATTGAAGGAAAGGGTTGTTGGGATCTGTCCTGCAGCAAACAGGTTTCTGTGGTGGTGGCAAACACTGTAAGAGCTGGGCAGGAGCTTTGATGCTGTGTTTGGGCTCCCTCAGAAGGCAGGAGATGCTCCAGAAAGGAGCCACTGGTTTGGTTTTTTCAGGGGGAGAAAACCCCAAGAGTTTGCTGAAACCCAGGGCATTTGTGACCTTTGTGCTGTGTTTGATCAGTGAGCCCTGGAGGCTGGAAAAGCCCCCAGGGTCATGGAGGGACCAGTCCCCAGGTGTGAGCCCTGAGCCACAGCCAGGCCTTCCCTGAGCACTGCAGGGATGGGGACTCCAGCCTTACCTTGGATAGGGAGCAGGGACAAAAACCAGAATGTGCCCAAATTATTGATCCCTGCATATATTGCTATGAGCAGTGTGACAATGAACAGTTTTAGGGGTAACAGGAGACAGGAATTGGGTGGTGTTATCCTGCTGGCTAGGACAGGCCTAGGCAGCTCTTGGCTCTTCTCCAGCTCCAAACATCACCAAACCTACCTATACAAAATAAATAACATTGAATTTTGTACATGTATAGCTTTTTTTTTTTTACTAATTTGTTGATGAGTAGATAGAAAATCTTTGAAGCTCTCTCTGCAGTTGAATATTGACTCACAGAGTACATAAAAATAGCAATATTCCATTTTATTTGCAGAGATAAACTTGGAATGCCTTAGAAATGTCCTAAAATGGTATTCTTGGGGTTTTATTTACTTACCTATTTATTTATTTGACTTTTCTCCACTAGACTGCTTTTCAAGAGGGCACTGAATGCTTAAATTAGAATGACAGGTGGCTTTGGGCTGGTGGCATCAGGTAAATTGTCCCAGCATTTTCTTTCCTGGGAATCTTTGGGATTGTGTTTTGGAGTCTGGGCTGCAAGGATTTCCTGGGAAACACAAGATAAAATAGAAACAGAGCAATGTCTAAACAAACACCCCAGAGACGAAAATCTTTCACACTGAAGCATTTGCAGCGAGGAGCATTGTACCAATTAGCAGGCTCTTAATTAAATTGCTTGTTTGATTTGCATCCAAATTATAATTTGGATGTTATGGAGGCTTTGATACCTTTTCATTAACTGGTCCTTTTGTGGGGAAAAAAAACCCACAAAAATCTCTTTTGCCTGCGTGTTTCAGAGGCCTGTGGCATCACAGGCTGGGAAGGTCAATCAGTTTTGTATCCATTTAAAGTCCATTATTGGTAGGGCCACTCCAACCTATCAAGCAACTCCCTTATTTTTCCAGTCAGTGATTCAGGAATCTATAGCCCTGTGCAGATAAATGGGATTTCATGGGCTTCTAAACTTCTTGCTTTATTGAAAAGCAGAATATTAACTGCTCCACTGACCAGCTGTCCATTAAAAACACGGGATATTTTTAGAAAATTGTTTGCCAATCAAATCCTACCAACATCTGTAGAGAGCCTTTTCAGTTTGTTTTATAAGCAAATGCTACAGCTGCTTTCCCCCTTGCCTTGGAGCACTCCCATTTACTGCTCTCCATGTCTCTGTCCATGTCTTGGGGCACTTTGGGATTGTGAGGAGCAGCATGGGGGCTGGAATTGTAAAACCCAGCTTTAACAAGTCCATTTGGGGCCAGGCCTGGCTGGGCTGGGCTGGGCTGGGCTAGGGGGCCCTGCTTTATTGCCTGCCCAGGGAAATGAGTGCTTTTTGCATTTTTGGCTCTTGCAGGGGTTTAAATGGGCTCTGGTGGCCCTGGAGGCTGCAGGCCAGGGATTAGGGAGCTCCCAGCTGGCAAATCAGGGCTGGGGATGGAGGGAGGGGGGCTGGCAGGGCTGGGGCAGATGGAGCTGGCAGCTCTGGTGCCCAGCCTGCATTTAACCCCTTGCTGCTCCCAGCTGCTTCCCCAGGACATTGCCAGGAGCTGAGCCCTTCAAAGCCAGGGCTGCTGCAGGGAAAATCCCACCTTGTGCCCCCTCAGATGGCCACAGACAGGAATGGGGCAATGTCTCCCCTTCTGCAGCACTCCCATCCCCACTGTCATGCCTCAAAACCAGCTTGCCATGAATCGAATTGAAAACACACCAGTTTTTATAAAATTAACCAGATTTGCTTCATTTCTCAGAGAAACTGATCCCTCAGGGGAGTTTTCAGGTGCCTGCTGCCTCTCAGGGTGTCTGGATGTCTCTCTGGGGTTTTGGTTTTGGTTTTGATCAGAAGTGTCAAGCAATCCCATCTTCCTGGGGCTTTCCAAAGCCAGAAAAACCAGCCAGAAAATCCTTTCCACGTGCAGAATTTTTATGATTAAATGCTTCCACCTCTTTGTCTTTTGTTCTGCCATTTCATTTTAATGAATATTTTATTGGGATTATATTTTTATAAGACAAGCATGCACAGCCTTGCTTCAGCTCTTAGTGCAACACCACTTGCTCACCTCATTTTACCCCACCAGCTCAGAATGTGTTTTGGAGATTGAAGTGGACTCTTGGTTTAAAATAATCCTGAGGTTTGTTGCTGGAGAAAGTGGCATCAGCTCAAGTTCTGCTGCCTGCCCTGCATCACCTTTGATGACCTCTCTCCTTTTTCCTGCAGGGCATCGATTTCTGTCCTGGCCAGAGCGTGGCTGGAGTGACCACACACACCCAGGAGGAGCACACCTACCTGCCCCTGCTCTTCCACCTGGGCAGGGACCCTGGGGAGAAGTACCCCTTGAGGTGAGCCACTCCATGGGCTGTGCTGAAAACTCAGCAGTGTCACTGTTCAACATTTATCTGCTGGTTCTTGAAATCTGCTTTAAAAGCTGTCCCAGAAAGCCCTGCTGGGAAATAATCCAGGCTTTCCTGCTGGCCTTTTCTCAGGAGAAGGAACAGAACCCTTGGTTTGGGTGGTCAGGTGAGATGGGTGTGCACATGGACCTGTCAGCCTGTTGTGTGGGGAGGAGGAAAACACCAATTTTTGGCCAGGCCAGGGCTGGGTGCAGCACATTCAGACAGAGCTGCTGGGAGCTTTGGGGCCAGGGGAGACATAAACAAATAAACAAATAAATAAATAACCTGAGTGGTGCTGGAACCTCTGGAGGGCACACTGGTCACCTTCCAGTGTCCTACCCCAGCCAAGGGAGCTTCTCCAGAGGGTGTTGAGCAGGAGGACTTTGTGCCAATCCTGCTCCTTCCTCGGGCTCTCCTGGCTGTCTGAATCCATTCTCCTCTAAGCCTGCTATTGTAATATTTATCTTTGGCACACACCATGCCCTGGGAGATTCCCACAAGGATTTATGCAGTCAGCAGAGCCCACAAAGAGCCCTGCCACCTCCAAAAATGCTCCCAAGGTGTCCCCACCTCCCTCCCTGCAGCAAATCCAGGGACACTCAGCCTCATCCCTGCCAGGGGCTCTGACAGGGACAGTGTGGAATTAAATCAAGAAGGAACAGGAGCTGCTGGGACTGCCTGCCCAGAGCTGGGTTTGTGCAGCAGCCTGGAGAGGCAGAGATGTTTCCTGAGCTGACAGGGCTGCCATTACTCAGCTGGTTTGAATAATTGAGTGGACACCCTCACCCCATTCCTTCCAGAGGAGCTGAGCCTGTGCTGCCCACGGAGTGTTTTCACTGGAGAGAGGAGGGAGGGAAAATATTTCCATTCTCTCTCACTTAACAGAGCACTTTAGAGGGGCATCAGCACTGGGCAAAGCTCTTTGGGGGCTCTGCTCCCACTGCATTCCAGCACTAATGAACAGAGCACAGCTGCAGCCCCAAGGCTGGAAATACAGCTCAGTGAAACCAAACCAGGCTGGGATTCCAGGGAAATTTAACAACTGGGTCATTCCCAAGGGATGGAGGGACAGGACCCAGGGAATGGCTTCCCCAGAGGGCAGGGATGGATGGGATATTGGGGAGAAATTCCTGGCTGGGAGGTGCTGAGCTCCTGGTGCCCAGAGCAGCTGGGGCTGCCCCTGCATCCCTGGCAGTGCCCAAGGCCAGGCTGGGCAGGGTTTGGGGCACCCTGGGACAGTGGGAGGTGTCCCTGCCATGGCAGGGTGGCACTGGATGGGCTTTAAGGTCCCTTCCAACCCAAACCATTCCAGGATTCTGTGATTCTGTTTTAGGAAATGAGTGTACAGAAAGAATCTCTTTTTCCAAAAATGAAAAGAATGGGTAGCAGTAACTGAACTGTAGCTTGCCTGCTGTGTCTGTCACCTTTGTCACCTGCTCCAGGTGATCCTGCCCTGCCAGGGGATTGCACTGGATGAGCTCTAGAGCTCTCAGCCCTAAAGACTCTGTGATTTTGGCCTTCTTTTGTGTTTCCTCTGGGTTTGAGGCAGAGGAGCTCTTCCCTCAGAGGTGTTTGCAGCACCTGCTTCCCTGTGATTCCACTGCCCCTTCCCACCACCCCAGAGTGAGCATTGAAATAAATTCCAGGGTTCCAACTGCAATCATTGCTCATATGGCTGCATTGATTTTTTGGATATTCACAAGCTGTTGCTCTGATTGAATTTTATGGCAAGATTATGACCCGATTATGGAGAGCTGGGCTGGTGTTTATTATGCAGCCCCTAATAGAAACCCTGATTTCAGCACACCACTCCTCCTTTCTCCAGCACATTCTGCTGCTATTGTCTCCTCTCTGGTCACAATGGAAAACTCATGGGAAGTGGGTCTGCTCTATCGAATGTGGTAATTAAATTATCCTCATTTGTGGAGCTGTTCCTGGTGTGTATTTTTATTTAGCTTAATTATCCCCCTTGGCAGGGAGCCTGCTGGGAGTCCCCACACTAATGTTTCTCCAAAGGGAATCCAGCATCCTGCTCCCAGCCTGCATCTGTCTGTCCCTACGTGCTGCCTCTGTTCTCCCTGCCTGCTTTTGCTCACTTTTTATTACATTTATTCCTTATTTAGTGCAGCCTTTTCTTCTCCCTTGAAATGGTTTTAATAATCTGTCATCTCTCTTGATTTACATGAGTTTGGAGTGGGGTCACAGGCAAAGCCACCAGCAGTGGGTATCCCTGCTGCTCAGGAGGGGCTGGCATCACATGCACCTGCAGAGGGATCCACTGCTTCTGTCTTTGGGATCTCAGAGCCAGGGAATCCCAGGAACCAGCAGCTCAGTTACCTGCAGCAGCACCCTGACCTGCAGGGCCAGGACACACAGGGACAGTTCTTCAAGGCTGCAGCTTTAGAGATTCAGGCAATATTTAAGGTTGGACCCTTAGGACCATCAGCCTGGCCCTGCCAAGCCCACCACAATTTGAGTTATCTCATGGGGGGTGGAACTAGATGAGTTTTGAGGTCTCTTCCCAGCCAAACCATTCCATGATTGTTACTCTGTGTTAGGAAGATGAGTGGATAGAAATAACCTGTTTTTTCCAAAAATCAAACAAAGCTTTTCAGTCTTTGCTGAAGAGGCTGCTAAAGGGATCCCTGAAGATGCAAGTGCTGCAAGAGCCAGAGGCAGCAGTGACAAGTGCAGCTCCCTGGGGTTCTTGGTGAGGCAGGACAAGTCCTTCCTCTTCCTCACGCTGCTCCCTGCATTTCCTGGAGCCTGTCTGCAAACAGTGCCAGCAAAAGGAGCTCCTCAAGCACTGAAGGATGGCTCAGGAAATGCCAGGTGTGGGAACAGGTCTGGCACTGCTGAGCTCCCTGCCCATTGTTCCCTTGTGGTGCTGCCCCCCTGCCCTCAGCTGCTCTGGGAACAGCCCCCCCAGCATGGCTGGGGCTTCTCTTCCTGCTGCTGCTGCTGCTGATCCTCTGCCAAGGGACACAGTTGTGTTTGCTCCTTTGCCTTGAAATATCCTGGAATCCTGCAGTGGGTTGGCTTGGAAGAACCTCAAAGCTCATCCAGTGCCACCCCTGCCATGGCAGGGACACCTCCCACTGTCCCAGGCTGCTCCCTGCCCTGTCCAGCCTGGCCTTGGGCACTGCCAGGGATGCAGGGGCAGCCCCAGCTACTCTGGGCACCTGTGCCAGGGCCTGCCCACCTCACAGGGAGCAATTCCCAATGCCCAATCTCCCATCCAGCCCTGCCCTGTGTCCTGTCCCTCCATCCCTTGTCCAAAGCCTCTCTCCAGCTCTCCTGGAGCCCCTTTGGACTCTTGTGTCACCTCATGCCTGGTGGTGAGAGGTGAGCCCTTTGTGCCTTTTTGTCACCTAGGTCAGTGCAGGCTGGGGACAGAAAATCTCTCTTTGTTTATAGCTCTCAACTTTAAACTGTAACCAAGAATGTGTGGGGGGCAGCACAGAAAGCAGAAGCATTTCCCTGACTCTGAGCAGGGCTTTGTTTCCTCCCTGCATGCAATAACTGCCCTTGTTACCAAATTTATCCAAATGCAGAACTAAAAGATCTGATAGGTTTTTTTCCTTGGCCAGATTCTGTTATCTTTGGGCTGTGGTGTGTGTGCTAAGTACCACAGAGGGAACTTGTTTCTGCAATGTGACAAATTCAGCAGAATTATCTGCTAGTACCATCTTCACAAGCAGTTGTCAGTTTTATTATCTGAGTCAGATTATTGTTTATACAGACATTTACTGAAATACTGCATAATGATTATCTATATAAATATTTTATATTTATATTTATAAATTTAGACATATAGAAATATGTATTTATATATATATATCTAAAAAGCAAAGCTGGCACAGCTGAAAATACAGTTAGTAAAATACCTAATGCAGCCTGAAGTACAGAAAGTGTTTTGAAGCCAAGGAATTTATAACAGAAATCTCTGAAATGCTGCCAGTTTGAGCCAGAGGTGCAAAGCTTAGGAACAAGTGAGGACAGGGTAAGTACAGCCTGCTCACACCTTGTTGTTACTGCAGGTTTGTAGCAGCTTCTGCTCTGAGCCATGAGTTTATTGAATTATGAACATCAAAATTCCTGTGTTTTACTTAGGGCAATGGATTTTACTATTATGGAAGAAAATGGAAGTGATAAGGCTTGGTTGATGAACATAATGATTTTAGAACACATTAATTAAGAAGAGAGCTCACAAGTGCCTATTTCGAGCAGATGGAAAATTCAGGAAATCATCAGAGAGGTAATTGCAGTGGTTATGGAGCCAGAAAAAAAAGGGAAGGAGCTCCTGAAGGGAAGCTAAAGGGGAAAGGATCTGACAAAAAAGTTGCCAGTCTCACCTTAGTGCTCAGGGCACAAAGCTGGCTGTGGGGAAGAGAGAGAAGGTGCAAAACAGGGGGGGAAATGTGAATAATAACAAAGAGCAAGGGTTGTGCCTGGGGGAGATGCTGGCTCCTCATCCTGGAAAAGGGGGAGATGGCACCAGCTGCATTGCAGGGGTGAATTAGACACTGAAATGTGGAAATTATGGCTGAGGAGCCTCAGAGGTGGCAATAACAACCATGGAGCAGCAACCACGCTGGGAATGGCTGCAGCAAGGTGGGGAGAAGCAGGGGAGCCAGGTGGGACTGGTACAGAGCCAGCTGGAGGGAGGAGGGGGAAACAAAACCCACCTGTGGAGGAGAATCAGCAGCCTGGAGACTGGGAATGGGCACAGACACCTCTGGGGCCCTGGCTGCCCTTTCCCAGGGGCTGGGACCAGCCTGGAGCTTGTGCTGCATCAGCCCACGGCCCTCGGGAGCTCTGGGTGGAGTCATGCTGCATGAAAAGGAGTATTGGGAGAAAAAAGCTGCATGGAACAGCTGGGAAAAATGCAAAATGCAGTTGGACATGGACAACATCATCATCTCCACAGACAGGTCCAGGCAGTGCTGCAGCCACAAGAAAGTGCCCTGAAGAACACAGAACATAAATTGTGATTCAGGAATAGCACTGAAAGTGCAAGTTCAGGAAGAGCACAGGAGCAGCCAGCAGCAGGATCAGTGGATAGCTGTTATTTCCTGTCACCTGTCCCCCCCAGATGAAGGCTTCACTCCTCACTCCACCTTTATCCCCTTTGCCATGTCAGTTCTGGGGGTTCCTGGCACTGAAATCCAGGATTCTGGGAGCTGGGGAGGGAAAACTTCCATGAAAAGAGGTGAGCAGGTGGAGGATCAGCACCACCACATCTCCTTGCTGCAAGGAGTGTGCTGATCATCCCAGCTTGGGCTCTCCCACCCTGGAGGCCTTTCCAGCCTGGATGATTCTGGAATTCCAAGGTTTCCTGTGGCCACTGGGCCCAAAATGCTGCTGGACCAGAGGTGACTCAGGGTAAGGGCCACCTTCAGCCTTTGGTGCCTCATTTGTTTTCCTTTGGCTCCTCTGAGTCTCTCCAGTAATTCCAGCAGCAGAGCCCCAAACCTGTCTCTGCCTCCTGCATTGTGCAGACCTTAAATTGCAAATAAACTTGATAATAGAAGAGAGGAACTGAGGAAGACTGAGTAATCAGACAAGATCAAGACTTGGATACCACGGTGCTGCGAAGCCTCAAAGCACTGATAACAGATAAAATCAAATTATCAGAATCTGGGTGTATTTCAGAATTAAAAATAATGGTTTTAATTAAAATAATTCCAGGGGAGAAGGAAGTAAAGTATCATTAGCCACGTTTTATGCTCTTCCCATAACTTCATATCAATGTGAGAGCTGCTGTTCCTAGAACCATGGAATGGCTTGGATTGGAAGGGGCCTTTTAAGCTGTGTGAAACTCATCACCTTTGGCTGCTCCAAGCCCTGTCCAGCCTGGTCTAGAGCCCTTTGTCAGGTTTTTGTGACTCCCATTATGGGGGTTTTTATAAAATATCATTCCCATTTTGTCCCAGTCCTCTCAGTTTCACCATGACTCCCAGGACAGACAGTGTGAATCATGGGGTGTAAAACAAACATCCTGAAACCCTGCTGGAAATGCTCCTGCACTTATGTGGGTGCTGATCTGTTTGAGGGTGCATTTGATGATGGCAGGGAGCCGTCCCTGCAGGAGGAAGCCCCAGGAGCAGGGGATTAAAGCAGAGTTTGGCTCTGGGTGAGACCAGCCCTCCTCCCTGCAGGCTGGCTGTGCTGGGAGGCCACGCTGGGGTTAAGCAGCAGAGCAGGTTCCAGGAGCTGTGGGGGGAGGATGGAGCAGATTGCCAAGGCACAATTACAGTAAATGAAGGAAGCACAGCCCACACCTGTGCCTGGGACCCTGCTCTCCAATCCAGCCCTGATTGCATCTCCAGGGGCTTCCCGGAGGTAAAGTGTCAATTAGTGTAATGACCCTGGACTTTGTCCACTCTGCTCCCTCCTTCTGAGCCTGGAATAATTTCATGGACGCTGGGGGATCTCTTTTAGCAAGCTCCTCACAACACCACCTGCTCACCCTCTCCTCCTTGCAGTGCTATTCCCAGCTCTCCTTCCCGGGATTGCTGAGCTGGAATAGGAAATGCAGCTCGCCCTGGAGGCTGCTCCTCCCAGACAATGGTACCTGGACAGATAATTCCACCTCTTTGTGGAGCAGGGAATGCAGCAAACCTGGCCCTGCAGCCCAGGCCTGCATGTGCACTCCAGGGAAGGATGGGACTCCAGGTAGGAGAGGTTCCCAGCTCCCTCAACAGCTCTGGCTGATTACCATGAGGTAATTATCCCCATTTTACATGCAAATTCCAGGCACTCTTGCAGATTTTGTCTCAAAATGCACTTGCTTAGGGCTGGAGGCAGTTTTAACTCCTGTGCAGTCAGTAAATACTTCACAAATCCATGGATGTGGGATTTTGGGGCATGTTGTGGAGCTAAACAGGAATATCTGAGATAAAACTGAGCCATGGAGCCAAGGCAGGAAAACCAACCTCGTGGAATGGGGATTTCCATGGGGTCAAGAAAACAAAACCAACCTCCGTGGAATGGGAATATCAATGGGGTCAAGAAATGAAAACCAACCTCCATGGAGCAGGGATGGATGGATATTGGGAAGGAATTCCTGGCTGGGAGGGTGGGCAGGCCCTGGCACAGGTGCCCAGAGCAGCTGGGGCTGCCCCTGCATCCCTGGAAGTGCCCAAGGCCGGGCTGGACAGGGCAGGGAGCAGCCTGGGATAGACACAAGGTGTCCCTGCCATGGCAGGGGGTGGGATGAGATGGGTTTTAAATCTCCTCCCACCCAAAGATTGTCAGATCCTATGAAATTCAGGAGCTTCTCAGGATCCTGTGCATTTCAGGGTGGTCCTTAGCTCTGTCCAGGCAGCTGGGTGTGAGAGCAGCAGCTCCAGCTCCTCATCCCACCTTCCCTTGCTGCTCTCTATCAGCACAGCTCAGCCCAGCCCCACAATCAGCCTCTCCCTGGCTGCCTGCCCAGCTGGGATATTTATAGGGTTTACTGGAAACGCTTGGCACATCGCTGGCCTTCCAAATGTGATTGTTTTGCAAAGAAGGAAATTAGCTGGAGTGTGGGGCTGCTGGCCAGCCTGGCCTGGGAGCAGGGGGAGCCCGAGGTCAGGACCCAACTGCATTGTTTCTTTTATCTTCCAAGGAATTTGCCGCTCTCTGGGGGGGTTTGGTGGTTTTTAAGGACTCTTACCGTGATGGACAAAGAGAGATCTTTGTTAGGAATCCTGCTTTTTAGAAATACTTGAGGTATTAGTGAAGTGCACCCTGAGCCACCCCAGCAAATAGCTGCTGGAGGAATCAGGTGGGTCAGGATCTGGTCATTATAACCACGTTTAGGGGCATGGCAGATGGCTCCCAGCTTGGAATAATCAAGCTGTAGTGGAGGAATGTGGACGGGGCAGAACCTCAGCATTTTGTGGAATGGGGGAGGTATTCTCGTCTTGGACGAGGCCCTTCTATTCTTCTCTCTGTTTGCATAATTGTAGTTCATTTCCTTGGTGGTTGTGGAGTTTAACTGGCCCGGGGTTGTGTTTGAAACCCTTCCTGAGAGCACTCTTGTAAGATAAAATATTGACATTCCCTTCTCTTCCCTGCACAAACGCCCCCGCCGGGGCAGGTGTTCAGGAGAGCTCTTGGGAAAGGGGGGAGAGTGTGGGGAGCTGCTGACCTCAGGTGGGACACGCTGGAAAGGCTGCCTTGGGAAATTCCTGTCCTAAGCTGTCTGGGAAGGTGTTTGTCCTGTGTCTGGGAAGTGTCCCTGGATAATCATTGAAGGAACAACCAAGAAATGCTCTTTTATTTGTTAAGACAATTCCCTTGGGAGTCCACATGAGCTGCTAGCAGATCTGCACGGGGAGGAAACATTTGGGGTCCCTGGAGCAGCAGTGTGGGAGGCTGAGCTGCTCTGGAGCCAGGTGATTTCTGGGGAGGACAGGGCACTGCCATGATCACTGCCCTCAGCAGAGCACCTGCACCTGCCAGCCTGGATTCCATTCCCTGCAGAGCCCTGGGCAGCTGGCAGCGTGTTTGCACATCTCCTCCTCCTCCTCCTCCTCCCTGGGGACGCCAGAGGAAGCCCCAGCAGTAACCCCTGTGCTTTCCCCCTGCAGCTTTGCCAGTGAGGAGTACCAGCAGGCTGTGGAGCACATCTCAGGGCTGGTGCAGCAGCACAAGGCCACCCTGGTGCCAGGCCAGCCCCAGCTGAACGTGTGTGACCAGGCTGTCATGGTGAGTGCCTGAAGCACAAATGCATGGGGACTCCTTAGATTGAAATGCATTTTGTAAAGGTTTCACCAACTGTCAGTGGTGGGAAGGGATGGAGGAGAGATGCACAATTACCTCTAGGTGCCTTCCTTGCTTAGAGACAGGACAGATCCTTCTTCTCCTTTCTAATCACCTTCTGCAGTTCTCAAAACGCTGGAATTGTGGAATCCTGCAATGGTTTGGGTGGGAAGGGACCTTAGAGCCCATCCAGCCCCACCCTGCCATGGCAGGGACACCTCCCACTGTCCCAGGGTGCCCCAAGCCCTGTCCAGCCTGGCCTTGGGCACTGCCAGGGATCCAGGGGCAGCCACAGCTGTGCCAGGGCCTGCCCACCCTGCCAGAGAACAATTCCTCATTCCCAATATCCCATCTAACCCTGCCCTCTTTGTTTTGAGTCTTCTAAATTCATTTTCAGTGATGTATCTTTGGTCTTGCTCTGTCTCCTCCAATTCCCCCTATGCCTGAATTTTCCCAAGTCTTTATTGGAATTGAACTTTTTCAGTTCTGTTTTCTCTTTCAAGTCTCCTGTTGGAAAGTTACAGTTTGGCTTCCCTGTCAAGCACTGCTTGGTTTATTGAGAACCTGGGAGAGGAACTGGATAATCTGGGGGAGGTTGTCACTTGACAGGAGGTTGTGGATCCGAGGGAATGTGTCTGTGGGCTGGCAGACAAAATAGTAACAGGCAAAATCTTCTTACAGACAAAACCTTTTAACAGGCTGTTACAAAATAGCAACAGGCAAAATCTTCCTGATAATAAATAAATAAATAAATAATCTCCTGAATCAGTCAGAACCTGCTGCCTCTGGTCTGTCACCAGCAAAGAGCTGTGTCCCCTCAGTAACAAGGCAAAGATCTCCCTTAGCTTTGTCCAATCTCTTTATTTTTGGATGTTAAATAGGAAAAAGATTTGAGGGCCCATTGTTTCTGTGTTGTTTTCTTTCCTTATTCAACTTTTCCCTTAATAAACACTGTTCTCTGCTCCTCTGGGACCTTTTGGATTCAGGCACTGTCCCCAGGGCCTGGCTGCTGCCAGAGGCAGCGCTGCAAAGGCATTTCTTCCAAAACTGCCTCCCAAATGGAAGGGAGGGCTGGGGGGATCCTAGGCCCAGCAGAAATGTTTCAGTCCCAGCAGGAAACCCAGTGAGTTTTCCAGGATAACTCCGTGGTCACTACCCCAAAATATCAGGCAGCAGATTGCTGCCTTTGAGAGCAGGAATGAAGCCAAGCAAAGCTTCAGGGAGTGATTACATTGCTGGGCTGGACTGGGGGCTGAATCTGCTTTTGGGGGATGCTGGGAGATAATTTACTGCCACTGTCTCCTGTCAGCTGATGGTTTGATAAGGGTGTTTGTTTGATGTACTTGGGAGAGAGGAGGAGAATTGTCTTTACCTACACACAAAGTGTGTGGAAGTGTTCAAGGAAGTGTCCAAGCCACGGAGGGACAGGACAGGGAATGGCTCCCAGTGCCAGAGGGCAGGGATGGGATCTTGGCAATGAGGAATTGTTCCCTGGCAGGGTGGGCAGGCCCTGGCACAGGTGCCCAGAGCAGCTGTGGCTGCCCCTGGATCCCTGGCAGTGCCCAAGGCCAGGCTGGACAGGGCTTGGGGCACCCTGGGACAGTGGGAGGTGTCCCTGCCATGGCAGGGGTGGCACTGGGTGGGCTCTGAGGTCCCTTCCCAGCCAGGCACTGCAGGGTTCCAGGACAGCAGCTGGATCATTGTGCACTCCTGCAGAGCAGCGATGGGGGCAGGAGCAGGGAGGTGCTTGCAGCCCATCCGTGCTGGATCCCATTGTCCAGGGAGCTCCCCCAGGGGCAGCTCTGCTGGCTTTTCCTGCTGTGTAAGTGTGGGAGAAGCCGTTCTGCAGCTCGGGGCTGGCTCTGGCACTCGCGGTGTCCCCGGGGCTCCCAGCTCAGCCCAGCAGCGGGACCAGGGCTGCAAGAGGCAGCACAGACCCTTTATTGTTCTGCCTTTTCAAAAGAACAAACATTGCAGTTCATGTGTTCTTTTGGCTCTCAGTTCCTTCTGCAGAGTGCTCTGAATTGTCCAGCCGTGGCTGCACATTTTAAACCAGAGGAACAGAGATTTTCCAAACGATTTAGAAAACGACATTAATTGTTCAGAAAGCCTGTGGAGCCCTCGGTGCAGAAGTGTCTCCAGCACAGCTCCCTCTGGGTCTGCTCCTCTGCAGGAATTGCTGGTGTCTCACTGCCATCTGTTGTCAGCTCCATGGAACAAAAACCTGCTCCAGTGGTTTTTTTCCTGGGGTTGAGCATTTCTTTTCTGTAGGAATTTAGTTCCAAGAAAACAGAAATATTTGCAGGGTGAAAATCAGCAAAATAAAAGGCAAGAGGTCAGTGTTGAACTGGCCTTTAATAGGGGACAGCAGGAATGTCCCATGGATGGACAGACCTGAGAGAGGGAGGCACAAAAGATTCCTGAAAGCAGAATGGGAAGTGTTATCTGCCCTTCCCATGACCACAATCCCAAATTTGTAATGGCAAAACCTTAATGAAATGAAAAATGTTCATCTATCCAAATTCCTTCCTCCATTAATCCCTCTGGAAGCTGAGGTTGGCAGTGGATCTCCTTTTTCTGTTCCACACATTCAGGTAGCTCAAGAAACGTGGAAACAAGGCAAACAAATAGTTTTGGTGTGCAGGCACGGGAAGAGGTGTCTCAGGAATTCTTTCTGCTCCCTCTGCCCATCAAAACACTCATTAAAATACCAGCATTCTTATCTCTCTCACACCCTTGGCCTTGTGCTGCCTTTTGCCTCCTCAGGACAGTGCCTGGATATTGCAGTGCTGAGAGTGGGAACTGCCCTGGGCTCCCAGGAGAGCTGGGGGGGTCACCAAAACCTCCTGCTCTGGTTCCTCTGTGCTGCCACAGGAGGGACAGGAGGGTCACCAGCATGCCCCAAGCTGGGCTGGGAGAGGCCAGGAAGGGCTGGAGTGTCCCAGCACAGGGAATCCTGCACGGCCCAGCGTTTGCAGCCTTTCCCAGCTTTTATTTGAGCACTGTTTGGAGTGGGGAAGTTTATGAGCCCAGAGGCTTGGGCTGCAAGAGGAGTTTCATTTTTCAAGCAGCACATAAAAGTGTCTTTGTGAGGATCATAAAGAGCTGCTTGGGATGAGAGCTTAGCAGATACTTGGTGTGAATCATCTTTCTGTCTGTTTCTGTTTGTTTTTAACAGAATTGGGCCCCTCCAGGCTGCGAGAAGCTTGGGAAGTGCCTGAAAGCACCAGAGTCTGATCCTAAGAAATGCTCTTGGCCTCACTGATGGCTGCAGCCCTGCAGAGCTACCCAGAGGCAGCTGGACATGCAGTGTGCAATGCCTGCTCCTGTTGGCACTCCTGTTTACACAGGAAGGGTGTGATGTGTGCATGATATCATCACTTGCTCTTCCAAAAGGGCCAGTGTTTATATTCCTCATGCTCAGGGTTTAGCCTCTACTCCTCTCTTCCCCCGGCTCTTTCCCTAAATGGTAACTCCAGTGAGGATTGGGTCAGCTGGAAAAGCTCTCTGGACTCTGCCATCAGCTCCAAAATGCCCTGGATCTCTCCTGCTCCTTCCACCCAGCCTCCTGCCCCAACAGGAGCCACGGGACAGGTCAGGAAACTCAGAGCTGCCAGAGAGCCCTGCCCAAACTGCCCATGTTTTGTTTGCCTGTAGCTTGTTGTTTTAACATTTCATTTCCATTGTGAACCCTGGACATCAACTTGTTTTTCCTTTCTCCCCAAATCTGTGAGCTCTGGGTGCAAACCAGGGATCCCTCCTGCTCACAGCTGAGGGGTTTGGAGCCAGGGAGAATGCCCTGAGTTCCTCCCATGTGTAGCTGCAAACATTCCCCAGGTCGTGGTTTCAGGAAAGGTGGGGGTTGTGTTCAGGTGAGGGTTGGATTGGGGTTACAGCCCCGGCCAGCCTGAAGGGGCCCCAGGAGAGCTGGAGAGGGAATTTGGGCAAGGCCTGGAGGGACAGGACACAGGGAATGGCTTCCACTGCCAGAGGGCAGGGATGGATGGGATATTGGGAAGGAATTACTCCTTGTAGGAGTGCTGAGGCCCTGGCACAGGTGCCCAGAGCAGCTGTGGCTGCCCCTGCATCCCTGGAAGTGTCCAAGGCCAGGCTGGGCAGGGCTTGCAGCAGCCTGGGACAGGGGAAGTGGAGCTGTATTGGATGAGCTTTCAGGTCTTTTCCAGCCCAGACCATTCCAGGATTCTGTTGCCAATGGTTGCTGCAGGACATTTGTGGGGGTCAGGTGTTCATTTCAGGGCTTTCCTTCATTTCTGAAAATCTGGCTCTAAAGCTGCTCCAAGCCACGCTTCCCATCTGGTGCTCTGGGCTCAGCAATGCCCCTTGGCATCAGCCCTTCACTCTTGACCCCATTTCCAGAACATGCTCTCCCAGGAGTTCTCCTTGTGCAAACCTTCCCCAGCCTGGCTGTAGCTCTCCTGGGGAACAGGAGCCTTTGCTCAATCCCACAGGGCAGATCCCTGCTCTGCCCTGGAGCCTGTTCCACACCCTTCCCTGTCTCCAATAAACCTGTCTGGAGCCAAACCTGCCTCCTCTGGGCCTTCAGGGCAGCAGCTGGTGGGAGCCTGAGCATGTTTGGGTTCAGACTGAGAGAGGGGAAGTTCAGGCTGGGTATAAGGAAGGAACTGTTCCTTGTGAGGGTGGGCAGGCCCTGGCACAGAGTGCCCAGAGAAGCTTGGAGCAGTCTGGGCTGGTGGAAGGTGTCCCTGCCCATGGCAGGGGGTGGAGCAGGGTGAGCTTTTAGATCCCTTCCCACCCAAACCATTCCATGGTTCTCCATTTGTCCCTCCAACAGCTCCACTTCCACCCCTGCAGTGTTTTCCACAGCACAGGTGCCCTGTCTGTGTGATGTTGTGCTGATAGGAAAATCCAGGTGCTCTGTACCTGCAAACAGCTCAAACTCCTCCCCAGCTGAGCTTGGAGCTGCTGGAGAGCTCTGCCCTTGGGCCAGCTCCAGGCTCCAGCTGCTGGTTCCTACCCTCCTGTAATCCCAAACCCTCCCATTCCCCCATCCCATGCTTTATGTACCTCCATGGTAATTCCTGCTGTGTGTCCCATGCTGGATAATCCCATTAAACTGGAATGAGAACAGCCCTTGGGTCAGCTCTTGCTGTTGCACCTCTCAGAAATCCCAGCCAGCATTGCAGGGATCCCTGCACGTCCACAGGTGCTGTTTGTTTATAGCCCACATTTCTCAGGATGTTCCTGCTTGTCCTTCAAGTGTATCACGGCATTTCCAGCTCACCCATAACATTCCTCCTTGTTTAGACACAGCTCAAGGCTTGGGAGATGTGGCCAGCAGCTCCCTCAGAGGGGAGCTCAGGGCTGGCAGCAGCTGTGGGTCTGTCAGCACAGATAAAACCAGGAGCTCCCCGTTTGCTGGGGCTGCTCCAGCTCTGCTTTGGGGCTTCTCCATGTCCAGAGAAGGGAATGGAGCTGGGAAGGGGCTGGAGAATCCTGAGGGAGCTGGGAAAGGGAATGGAGAATCCTGAGGGAGCTGGGAAGGGGCTGGGGAATCTTGAGGGAGCTGGGAAGGGAATGGAGGATCCTGAGGGAGCTGGGAAGGGGCTGGAGAATCCTGAGGGAGCTGGGAAGGGAATGGAGAATCCTGAGGGAGCTGGGAAGGGGCTCAGGAGGATCCTGAGGGAGCTGAGGGGGCTCAGCCTGGAGCAAAGGAGGCTCAGGGGGGCCCTCCTGGCTCTGCACAGCTCCTGCCAGGAGGGGACAGGGAACAGGAACAGGGACAGGAGCAGAGTTGTGCCAGGGGAGATTGAGGTTGAATATCAGGGAATTTTATTCATGGGAAGGGTGAAAAGCACTGGCACAGGGCAGTGGTGATATCCCCAGCCCTGAAGTGTTGAAACCCACGGGGATGTGGCATTGGGGTCACCGTGGTGCTGAGGGCTGGATTTGATCTCCAAGGTCTTTCCCAGCCTCAGTGGCTTTGATTGCACCGTTCTGTCCCTGGGGCTGTCAGAGCCCTGCATTCAGTGTAAAACTCCACCAGAGGAGGGAGTGCATGGCTGCAGCTCCCTGGCAATCCTGTCAGCCCTCAAATCCTTGCGAGGAGCAGCCCTTGGTGGGGTTCTGTGCTGCTTAGGGAGAGTTCCCCCAGGATCAGAGCTGGGCCTGGCCTGGCCACACTCCTCACTCCCCAGAATTTGCTCTGGCCACCTCCTCCCTGTCCCCTGCCTGCTGCTCCCTCCTCTGCTCTGTCTCAGCTGCCCTTTGGAACATCCTGCTTTGCCCCTGAACTTGCTCTGAGCAGCCACGGGGTTTGTCCCCCTCCCAGCACAGCAAAGCCTCATTCCTCATTCCTGGAGTGATCTCAGGACACTGATCCTGGAGGGAAACGTTGCACTTGAAAGCAAGTAAGTGAAGCCATGACGTGTCTGTTTAGAGTAAAAGGACACGAAGCAGATCATAAATTATCAGGGTTTAATGTGACAAAGCTTCTGCTTTAAATTTAAATAGGAATAGTTGTTTTACAGCTGGATAATAGGAGGAATTTTAAATGAATGCCTTTCCTAAAATTGTAGAGATTTAAAAGCAGTGAGGTGAAGAACTCATGAGGAAAAATAAACTAATTTATCAGCAGAGCAGTCTGTGATTTCACCTGTGAGCCAAGGGAGTGACACCTTGCTTTGGGGCACTCTCCCAGATTCACCTCCTGGATCATGGCACTGACTGGGGTTAAAAATAACTTGGTTTGTTTTCCTGGAATCATTTTTACCTGGATCAATCTCCCAGCCCACACAGTGCAGTTCAGAGGCTGGGGGGACCCAGGGCCAGCACAGGGGTGGGGATGGTGCCTGCAGCCCCCACTGCCCACTTGGGGCACAAAGTGGCCACATCTGCCCTTAAAAACCATCCTGAGCTGCAGCCCTGAAACTTCCCAGCTCAGGAACTGGGGCAGGAGTGGGGCTGGAGGGATTTCCTGCCCACTCAGGGACCTGCAGCAGCCAAACTGGTCTGGTGGTGGCTTCTGTTCTCCAGCAGAGACAGAAATGCCAAAGGAATGCTGAAGTTTGGGGCTGTGATGTTCCTTTCTTTATGTTTATTATGCTGAGCACTAAAAGCTCCATCGCTTCCTGGCCTAAGAGTCCAAAGAATTTCTTTCTTGCCTTTAATTTCCAATTAGCTGAGCCTCTCAAGCCTCCCAGCTCTGCCCCTGAGGCTCTGTTATCATCCCACCCTCCGTGCAGAGAAGCTTCTAAAATGGATGGAACTAATAATGGTGGAGGAGCTCGGGCTGCACTTCAGGCTCTGGAGCCTTGATTTCAAATCCTGCAGCGACAAATGGATTATTTCCGTGGCAAATTGCTCCCTGGGGAGCAGCAATTTGGGGAGCTGAATGCTGGAACTGGGAAGCTGCAGATCAATTCCCAACACTTGGAGCCAAGGTTAATGCCCTGCAAACTGCCCTGAGTGCAGCAGTGAGGAGAGCACGGCCCTGCCTGGCCAAGGGGGCCTCAGGAATGTTCCAAGGGAAAATGGGGAATTCTGGTACCAGGGAAGTGAGCGAGTCCCATGGATTTGCTGGAAAAACCTGGGGGCTGTTCTGGGCCAGTCACAGTGGGATTTGACTACAAGAAGTGGAAGGAGGCTGTGGGACTTGGGACAGTGGCAGCTCCCATTCCTGTCACCTGCAGCCCTTCCCAGACACCAGGGACAGCATCCCAAAATTCCTGTTTCACATCAAGGATCTCCTCAAGGTTGGACACTCTTATTCTCCCCAGTGACAACAGCATTGAAATAACCCCATGAAAGAATTCCAGCAGCTCAAGAAGGACCTGTGGAAGGTGAGAACTGAACAGAGTTTGTGGGGGAGGAAGGTTTGGGGTGCTGGGAGGTGATTTCTGGCTGCAGAGTCCCCAGCAGCCTCTGGAGCACAGAGAGAAATCCCTCCCCAGGGACCCTGTCCTTGTCCTCAGCACTGGGAAACTTTACAAACTAAACACGCTTTTATTCTCTTAAGAGTTCCTTTGCTTGTTCAGCTTCCAAATAACTGTTCTGCAGTTAGAATGGCCTGTTTTCCATCTCTCCTAGCAGTTAGAATACTTGGAAATTGACTTTTCCTTTTGTTTTCTGGTAGCACTGGATGTTTTTCTATGTTATCAGGAGGCGACACTGTGGTGCCCCTTGAATTAAACTGTCAGGTTTTAAGAACAGCTCTAAGGGAAGAACTGCAATCCCATTTTGGGTTCTTTTCTCCTTTGGAAAATGGCTATTTTAAACACCAAGGCTCCATTTGCCTGTTTTCTTTATATTCCCTTCCACCATTTAAAGTTTTCTTGTTGCTTGAAGCCTAGTTGGGATTATATAAATCCTAAATAAAGGTGGATCCGTAGCCAGAAGCTTGTGGTCTTTTAGGAGGGAGAAAAAGCCTCTGCCTTCCCGCTTCTGCAGAGAGGAAATCTGGCAGCTCTGAGGGCCTTTGTCCCTCTTGGAGTCACTTAACACCCTCTGGGTGACAGGAGCTTGGTAGCACAATTCCCAGCTGAAAGGGAGAGCAGATAAAAGCCAGCAGCGAGGAATTCCAGCCAAATCCATTAGTTCTGGATCAGACACAAAACCCAGGCTGGCCAGGGGAGAGAGAGGAGTTTTGTGTCTTCTCCAAGGGCCTGATCCAACCTGCTGCAGCAGGCAGGAGGTGCTGCCTTGGGCTCCCAGGGAGGCAGAGCTGGATCACTTTTTTTTTTCCTACGCTTTTCCCTCTTTTAGGGGGACAAAACCAGATCTGAGGCTTCCATCCCAAGCCCAGGATCTGGCTGGGGAGCTGCATTCTTCTGGTGTTGAAATAAGATATTTCAAATTTGTTGTTGGTTTTTTTTGGTTGGTTTTTTTTTTGTTTCTTTTTTTTTTTTAAGGGTTTAAAGTGCATGAGTTTCCTCAGCTGAGATTGAAACATTCCAGTGGATTTGCAGGGAATTTTTTGTGCTCCTTTTCCCTCGTGGAAGGGGGATGTTGAAATTCGGGGCATTTTGTTCCACTTCACACTGAAGTGTTAAAATCCTGAACGGAACAGAAACTTCCAGGCTCAGCACAGCTCTTTAATTGCCTGGTTAAGCTGATTAAAGTCAGTTCCCAGGCTTTTACATTCCCAGTTTCTGTGCTCCCTGGCTAATAACACCTCTGCTATCAGGATCTCAAAGCACTTCTAAATCACTGATGGTGTCCAGAAAAGAGCAAAGCCAGAGTTCCCTGGGGGGATGCAGATTCCAGGTGCTGATTCCTCTGCCAGGCACGGAGCACTCAGAGCCACGAGCGGATGTGGAGTCACCTCCCGGGTGATATTCCAGAGCCCTTTGACATCACATTTGGAAAGGGGTCCTAGGAAAGTTCTTTGCAGATGGAAATTGCAGTAGGAGTCAGCAGTGTTGTTTGAAAGGTGGAACAATCACAGGGAAAACTGATTTCCTTGGGGTGTTCCAGTCCAGTCTGTGCTGGTGGGTGCAGTCGGAATCCTTGGAGACGGGGGATAAATGAGGAGTCCAACAGGAATCTCAGGAATGTTGTCTTTTAACCATGGTTTCTGGCAGCTGGGTCACTGCAAGCCCAGTTTGGTGGAACCTTTGTGCCCTTCCCAGCAGAGCAGATGGGGACAGACTGATCCCACATCCAGGAGGGGAGCACTCAGAGGGGGCACTCAGCAGCTCATCCTGCTGAAGGTTTGCCAGGGCTTGCTTGGGATGAGGGGCCTGGGAACCTCACTCAGCCTCCAGGGCAATGTGGTGGAGTCTCCTGCAGTGAGGGTGGGATCGTGGGGGGACACAAACAGGACAGGGGTGACACAGACCCCCCCGTTCCAGCCCCTCCGTTAGTGAGAGGCAGAAGCAGAGCTGCCTGGCAGGCTCTAAAGATCCTTTTTCCCAGGAAATAAACTCCTGCTTATTTATTTCCACGAGTAGGCAGATAAATTCCATCAGCAATTCCATCTGCCAGGAAGAAGAGGAGTTGCTGGAAGAGCTCCTTGTCCAGTGCTGTGCTGTAAGGTCAGCAGAGGAACCCGTCCAGCTCGTGGCAGGGAGCGCGAGCGCTGCGAGCCCCGGCTCCCCTGCAAGGCCCTGTCCTTCCTTCCTCCCCCTTTGCTGCCTGCAACAGCTGCCCAAGAGGATCCTTCTGGTGCCAAAGAGATAATCTGAGTTCAGGGGAAGTCTCAGTTTGTGGGGGAATGGTTGTGGAGGGAGCACGCGCTGGCTCTGGCAGCAGAGGGAGTTCACCTTAACAGGAGTTGGGGTTGTGCAGCCTCAGCAGCTCCAGGGGGACCTGAGGGCTCTGTCCAGTGCCTGGAGAGGCTCTGAGAGAGCTGGACAGGGACTGGGGACAAGGGCCAGGGTAAGGGGGAATGGCTGCCCCAGAGGGCAGGGTTAGATGGGATATAAGGGAGAAATTCCTCCCTGGGAGGGTGGGCAGGCCCTGGCACAGGGTGCCCAGAGAAGTCTCCAAGGCCAGCCTGGACAGGGCTTGGGGCACCCTGGGACAGTGGAAGGTGTCCCTGCCATGGCAGGGGCTCTCCAGAGGGTGTGGGTGAAGTTTTTCCCAGTCACAGCTCTCGGCAGCAAACACTGAGCTCAGCCAGGGGTGTCACAGGCTCCAACTGCTCCTGCTTTCCACAGCGAGCCGTGCCTGGACAGGTTTGGAGCAGATCCAAGGTGTATTTGCTAATGGAAGAGGAGATCTGAACTCATTTGGTGGATTTTGCATGGCCAAACAGCATTCAGCACCAGGAGATGGGAGATGGGAGCTGTGGGAGCTCCCTGCCCTGCCCAGGGCTCGGTGACACCAGGAGCTGTTGGAGGATCTGGGGCTGTGTTATTGTCCCTCATCCCAACCAACGAGTTTAACAAACACTGAACGACTCCAGGAGTTCACACGAGGTGATGAGGGATGGGAAAGCAGGAAACAGTGAAGTCCTGAGGTGTTTGCTGTCTGTGTTGTGCTGAGCAGGGTGAGGGCGTGCAAAGGGAACCCCCAGGCAGGGAGCTCCTTTCTGAGGCTGGGGTCAGGCAGGGAAATCCAGCTCCACACGGAGCAGGTCCCTGGGAGCTCTTCAGAGGGGAGCCTGGGGCTCCATCCACTGCTGTGCCAGGGCTCCATGGCCCTGGGAAGTGCAGCTCCATGCACCAGGGTTATCAGAGCTCCATGGCCCTGGGAACTGCAGCTCCATGCACCAGGGTTATCAGAGCTCCATGCACCAGGGTTATCAGAGCTCCATGGCCCTGGGAATTGCAGCTCCATGTGCCAGGGTACCAGGGCTCCATGCCCCTGGGAATTGCAGCTCCATGCACCAGGGTTATCAGAGCTCCATGTGCCAGGGTTATCAGAGCTCCGTGGCCCTGGGAAGTGCAGCTCCATGTGCCAGGGTTATCAGTTCCATGGCCCTGGGAACTGCAGCTCCATGCACCAGGGTTATCAGAGCTCCATGGCCCTGGGAATTGCAGCTCCATGCACCAGGGTTATCAGAGCTCCATGCACGGGGAGATTTGGGCTCTGTGCATGAAGTGTCAGAGCTCCACACACTGGGGGTATCAGTGCCTCGTGTCCTGGGGTACCAGACCTTCACTGGGGGGCTGGGGGCTCTGGGATAGCTCCATGTCTGGAGTATCAGACCTCCTTGCACCAGGAATTTGGGGCCCTGTGCATGGGGATACCAGAGTTCCGTGTGCCGGGGGGGTGATGCTCTATGATCCAGCGTACCAGAGCTCCAAATACCGGGATACCGGGGGGACTGGGGCTCAATGCCGCGGGGTACCAGAAGCCCAAATACGGGGTGGACTGGGGCTCAATGCTCTGGGATACCAGAGCTCCAAATACCGGGGGGACTGGGGCTCCAATGCCCCGGGGTGCCAGAGCCCCAAATACCGGGGGTATGGATGCTCAATGCCCCGGGGTACCGGAGCCCCAAATACCGAGGGGCTGGGGCGCCGGTACCCCGGGGTACCGGAGCTCCCGATACTGGGGGCATGGATGCTCCGCACTCCTGAGCCCCACATATCAAGGGGACCAGGGCTCAATGCCCCGGGGTACCGGAGCTCCAAACAGCGGGGGGACTGATGCTCAATGCTGCGGGATACCGGAGCTCCGAGCACCGGGGGCACGGATGCTCCATGCCCCGCGGTCCCACACCCGCAGGTCCCCAGGCCACAGCCGCTCCCTGCCCCGGTGCCCGCCCGCTCCGGTGCCGCCCCCGGCCCGCCCCGCCCGGCCCGGCCCGTTCCGGCCTGCGGGGAGCGGAGCGGCGGCGGCGGCTGCGCACGGCGGGGCCGCCATGAGCGACGAGCGGCTGCGCCGGGTGCGCGACCGCGTCCGGCCCTTCCCGGACTTCCCGGAGCCCGGCGTGCTGTTCCGGTGAGACCGGGACGGGAACGGGATGGGATCGGGGAGGAAACTGGGGCTGGAACCAGGACAGGGCATGGGGCCGGGGATGGAGGCAGGACCAGGGCTGGAAGTGGGGATGGGAGCAGGGCTGGAGCCGGGCCGGGGACTCGCTGCCAGCTCCTGTCCGCGCTGCCCATCCCTGGCCCCGGCAGCACCAGGCAGGGCCCTTTCCCCGGCTCGGGAGCCTTTCCTGGGCCCGGGAACCTTCCCCTGGGATCAGGAACCTTCCCCTGGGATCAGGAGCTTTCCCTGGGATCAGGAACCTTCCCTAGGCTCAGGAGCCTTCCCCGGGAACAGGAACCTTACCCTGGGATCAGGAGCCTTCCCCAGGCCCAGGAGCCTCCCCTGATCTCGGGAGCTGAGCATTTCCAGAGCACCCCCGCAGGTGCCTCACCCCCTGCCCTCCCTCGTTGCAGGGATATCAGCCCCTTGCTGAAGGATCCTGTGGCCTTCAGGACTTTGATTGATCTTCTGGAGGATCATGTGAGGGCGTCTTTTCCGAAAATCGACTTCATTGTGGGTGAGTGCTGGTTGAACAGCCCTGAGCAGTGTGTCCCGGGTGGGAAGAGTGGGGTGGCCCTTGGGGAATGTTGTAGCCCTTGGACACAGAAGTCACCTGAACATTGGCCTTTGTCACAAGGTAACACCAGGACAGTTTCTACCCTTCACCTCCTGCTGTGGTTTTCTGAAATGCTGGTGTGGGATGTGGCAGGTGCCCTTTGACACTTCTGTGCCAGTTGCATAATTCATTGTTAAAAAGGAGGGGGCACACAGAGCCTGCAGTGTCCCCACGCTGTCCCCAGGGCAGGCAGGCCCTGTCCCAGCTGGTTTCCCTCAGGGAGCCTTTCAAGGCCAGCACAAACGGCCTTGGTGGCCAGAACACCTCAGCTCACCTGGCCAGGTGCTGAGGAAGAGGAAGGCAGTGCTTGGGCTGGGCCACAGCCAGAGGGGCACAGACCAGACCTGGCCCAGGTGAGATAAGTGAAGTCTGCCCAGAGGTGCAGAGTTCCTGCTCATGTGGCTGGACTGATACCAGGGCCCTGCTGCCTTTATCTCTAAGGAAAAGGGTCAGAGGAGAGGGAAATGGGCTCTTAGGGCCAGCAGCAGCAAATGTGGGTGAGAACAGGAGTGTGGGCTGTGTTTTCAACCCTCAGCAGTGACTTGAAGAGCAAATTGCTTTTAGAATGGGAGGATAAAACAAGGGGGTTGTGCCAAGACCCTCCCCCAGTGAAATGGCTCCAATCTGAGTGATGGGACAAGAGGAAAAGGCCTCAAGTTGTACCTGGGGGGGGGTTAGGTTGGGTATCAGGGAATATTAATTCCCTGAGAGGGTGTGAGGTGTTGGGACCGGCTGCCCAGGGCAGCAGTGGAGTCACCATTCCAGAAAACACGTGGATGTGGCCTTGGTTGGAAATGGTTGGACTTGATGGTGTTGGAGGCGTTTTCCAAGGTGAATGACTCCTGATTGCCTGTTCCCTGTTCCTGCTGTGCCCCCAGGCCTGGACTCCCGGGGGTTCCTCATCGGGACCCCCCTGGCGCAGAGGTTGGGCATCGGCTTCGTGCCCGTGCGGAAAAAGGGGAAACTGCCTGGTGCCACTGAATCCATCTCCTACAGCCTGGAATACGGCAAGGCAAGGCCTGGGAGCAGCAGGGGCTCACTCTGGGGGGGCAGGGGGGCTAAACCCGCGGGGAGGGGGTCCCAGGCCGGGTTCTGATGACCTGGCACCAGCCCTGGGAGCGGCGCTGAGCCACGGCCGCTCCGTTTGTGCCCACGGGTGATGTTCAGTGCTGTGCTGTGATTCTTCTCGGGGGGGTGGTGCTCAGACCTGGTGCTAAATGGCTTTCTTTGGCTTGAATCCAGGGGCATGACCACGGAGAGTGTCCCCCACTCTGGCAGTAAGTGCTGTAAGTCAGAGCTGTCCCGCATGGCTTCCCCCATCCCGCCCCGTAACCCGCGGCTGCTCCGGGGGCTGAGCCTCAGCCTGTGCTACTCCCACTAGGAACTAACAGCAGCAGAACCCCCAAAGCCAGGCCTAAGCCATGAGGATTGTTTGGGCCAACTGAGCTCATGTGACGCATCCAAACAGGTGCCAGTTTGGATCTGGCTCTAGGCAGAGCTCCCCAGTGCATGACAGGAGATTTTCCTTGCTGGAGAGCTGCTCTGGGATAAGATTCCACCATAACTCACACAATGAAAGTTCAGGATCTTGGTGTGCCAGCAGGTTGGCCCAGCAATCCCCTCCCTGCTCTGTGTTTCTGTGGCGCTCCCCTGTAGCTGGAATTTGTGGGGTTTTTGGGATTTTAGGTGCTGAGTGTTTATGCTGATGTCTCTGAGGACTTGTCTGTGTTCCAGCATGAACCAGCAGCTCGTGAGGGGCTTCTCTCCAAGGCCAGACTAAACCAAAGCTGCTCTTTGCTCCCTGCAGGCTGAGCTGGAAGTCCAGAGCGATGCTGTGGAGCCAGGACAGAAAGTGGTGATTGTGGATGACCTGCTGGCAACTGGAGGTGAGGGAAGCACGAGTGCTCCTGTACACCTGTGTGCATGCAATCATGGAATGGCTGGGGGGATAAATCTGGAGGTGAGGGAAGCAGGAGTGATCCTGTACACCTGTGTGCATGCAATCATGGAATGGCTGGGGGGATAAATCTGGAGGTGAGGGAAGCAGGAGTGATCCTGTACACCTGTGTGCATGCAATCATGGAATGGCTGGGGGGATAAATCTGGAGGTGAGGGAAGCAGGAGTGATCCTGTACACCTGTGTGCATGCAATCATGGAATGGCTGGGGGGATAAATCTGGAGGTGAGGGAAGCAGGAGTGATCCTGTACATGTGAGTGCATGCAATCATGGAATGGCTGGGGGGAAAAATCTGGAGGTGAGGGAAGCAGGAGTGATCCTGTACATGTGAGTGCATGCAATCATGGAATGGCTGGGGGGGGATAAATCCCATCCAGCCCCACCCCTGCCATGGCAGGGACACTTTGTGTCTATCCCAGGCTGCTCCAAGCCCCATCCAGCCTGGCCTTGGGCACTGCCAGGGGTATCCACACCTCTCTGTACCCTCAGCCTGGCAGCAGCAGGGGTGGCTGTGGGGTGGGGGTGCCCCTGGAGTGAGGATGTTTCTGCTCCCCTCCACAGGTACCATGCGTGCTGCCTGCGAGCTGCTGAAGAGGCTGAAGGCTGAAATCCTGGAGTGCCTGGTGATCATAGAGCTGAAAGCCCTGAAAGGGTCAGAAAAGCTCAACTCCATCCCTTTCTACTCCCTGCTGCAGTATGACTGAGCAGCAGCAGGGAGGAGGGAGCACTGGGAACAAGTCTGGGGCTGTGTGTAGTGACTGGCTGTCACAGGGGGGTGGGGAGGGGGGTTAAACACAGGTTTTGAGCATGGCCAGATGCTCCCCAATCCTAAATTTCCCAAGCACTGTGTTGAGTGTAATGATCCCTTTTGGAGTTCATCCTTTCAGAAAGAACAGGCAGATTGACTGGGGGGGATGGAGACCCAGATGCAGCTTCTGTGAATCTGTGGTTTTTAGGAGACCAAAGTGACAATATTGCTGCTGAGGCAGGAGAGCTCTGCCAGGGCACCAGCATTCCCTGGGCTGGGCTGTCAGCCTCCAAGGAACCTGCTGAAAAATTCCCAAAGAAACACAGGAGATGGGCAAAAAGCAATTATTTCTGTAAAGGACAAATCCTGCTGTATTTGACCTCGGGATGGGCTGGTGCTCTGTGCTGTCACTCACACCAGAATAAGCTGCTCTTACACCAGGGCTGTGCTTGTTCAGGAGAATGAGGTGCTTGCTGTGTCCTTAAATCAGGATGGTGCTGCTGTGGGATGAGCCCAGTCAGTGTTTTCCTTCCCTGGACACCACAGGCACCTTTTGTTCAGCACAGTTCCCCATCTCCTGCACCACATCCCACTCCTGTGCTGCTGCTTCCCCTCTGCTGGGCTGTGCTGGGCCATCAGAGCCCGCCCTGGTGGGAGTTTGGTGCCAGGTGAGGCCCCAGGAGAGGTGTTGCAGTGGTCTCAGGTGTGTGAGGGGGGTTGGAGATGCTTCCTCCAGCACGGTTCAGTTTGCTCACAGCTAAATCCCTGTGTGCCAAAACTTCCACAAGCCTGAAACCATCAGGGACTGTGTCCCTGGCCCAGCAGGGACTGGACTCATGGGTAAAATAAATATTGATGTATTTTTATATTTCCTAAGCTGTCTCAGAGCTGTTCTTGCAGTGGCTGAAGCCGTGAATGACCCTTGGCAGTGTCTCCCTGCAGCCCCAGCTGGTCAGTGGGGCAAGGCTGTGCTGTGAGCTCTCCCTTATCCCCCAAATGCTTGGAATTGTTTCCCAGGGAGCATTCAGGTACCTTTTCTTTACTTTGCACCCACCTCTGGCTGCAGAGGCTTGGTCAGCTCAGCTCCCCTTCCCCATCCAGCACCTGGCACCACCTCCCAGCCAGCCCCATCCACTTGGAAGGACCATTCCAGCTATTTCCATCCCCATCTACCGAAAAGCCCCTTCAGCACTGCTCAGTTTGCACTGAGGAATTCCCTGGGCACCAGGCTGCCCCAGGGGAGCCAGGGCAGGCAGCACCTCACAGCCTTGGCACCAGGACAGGGTCCCTGCTGCGGGGGAGGAGGGAAAATCAATTCCACCCCAGAGAGCCATGGAAAGCAGCTGCGTGCTGGGGAAGCAGCGTCAGCCCCGCCAGTGCCAGCAGGTGACATCAGGGAACGTGGGGACGGTGCCTTGGCCCTGGCTGGGCTGCCAGCAGCCCCTGATGTCATCTGCTTGGGGAGACCAGGCTGGGCAGGGGCGGCTTCCAGGTGGGAGAAGGGTTTCATCCCGAGGAGCAGAAGGGTTTCGTCCCGAGGAGCAGGAGGGTCTCGTCCCGAGGAGCAGGAGGGTCTCATCCCGAGGAGCAGGAGGGTTTCGTCCCGAGGAGCAGGAGGGTCTCATCCCGAGGAGCAGAAGGGTTTTATCCCGAGGAGCAGGAGGGTCTCGTCCCGAGGAGCAGAACAGGAGCTGGCTGGGAGCTCTCCTGGGATGTGAGTGTGGCTGCCAGGCTGCTGATTCCAGCTCCTTTCCAGTCCTGCTCCACTCCAGCTGCTGCAATCCAGCTCCTTCCCACCGCAGTGAGGTCCCTGAGCGTGGCTGAGAGCCCAGCCTGCCTCAGGAGCCCCCAGCCTCACACCCAGCCCCTGGATTGGGGTTAAGCCCTTCTCCTCCTCCCTGGAAACTGGGCACAGCTGGGCTGCACAGGCGAGCACGGCCTGGAGGAGGAGGAAGAGGAGGTGGAAGTCCTCTTGCTCCCTCAGGAAGTGCTGTGGGATCTCAGCTGCTGCCAGGTGAGGAATCTGCCCAGGAGCAGCATAGGATGAGAGGATGAGGGAGCCCCCTCTCCCTGCAGGTCCCTGGTGTCCCCAGCTCCAGCCAGGCTTGGGGAGCAGTGTGAGGTGTGTCTGACATGGCCCTGGGCAGCTCCCACCCCAACCTGGGCACAGAGCCAGCCCAGCACCTCTGTGCCATCCTCACCCTCTTTGTCCCTCTTCCCAAGCCACTTCAGCCTGAGTGGCCTGGGACTTCCCCTGGGAAAAACCAGCCCTGGATCCCTGTCAGCCCTGCCTGCCCCTGTCCCTGCAGCAGCTGCTCCCCCAGCCCCATCTACAAAAGCTGCATTCAGCTCCCTGCAAACCCACGCTCACTTTTTCCAGTGAGTTTTTCTCCAGGAGCTGGATGAGGAGCCAGCCCTTCCCGGCGCCAATTGCCATGGAGAACCACGAGACAGGCAGCAAGGAAGAGCACTGGGTTAACACAAGTCAACTATATTTAAAACATTTAATACAAATGTGTTTTGACAAGTCCTGCAGTTGTTTCCAGTGAGGACTGGAAGATGCGTTTTCCCTCCCCTAAAAACAGAACGAGGCCCGAAGCTCCAGAAACATCAATTTGTGACTTTTTCTCTCACTCCTTCCTGCCTGTCACCCTCTCAGCCTGCCCTGTTCTGCCTTCACCCCACCAGGACCCGGTTAATGGAAGAAACCTCTGAAATTGGACCTTCAGGAGACCCCTCATGCATTGAACCTTCAGGAGAACCAGGAAAGGGAGAAGAAAAGGTTCCTCAGGTTAGGATTTATCACCACCCCAGGACATGGGATTGCTCCAGGACTAGGGGACCTACACTCCTCACAGCTCCCACCACAGGATCAGTTAAATTAAGGCATTTTGCCCTTCCTCAGCCACCCGAGGACGAGCCTCCCTCCAGCCCACCCCAGAACCCAGAGCGCTGTCGGGATTTGCTACATTCGAGGAGATTGCACAGAAAAAACCCCAGCCCTGAGGGGAGCTCAGAGGGCTCCAGCCTCCTTGGCCGCCTTGTTGAGCCTCTCAGTGATGAGGCCCAGGTCCTTCTCTTTGTCCAGCTTGACGTAGACATCTGTCCTGAGGGCGTGGACGCCCACCCAGTCGGGCAGGAGCTCCGCAAAGAGCCGCACGTGTTTCTCCATCTCACCTGCAGCCGGGAGCAGCGGGGTCAGCACCGGGCTCCCCACAGCCCCTTCCTCCTCCCGCAGAGACCCCCCAAAATCCCTACCTGGTGCCACCAGCTCGGGGCAGCTGTCAGCCAGGCGGGCGCAGAGCAGCTCCATGCTGAGTGCCGGCTTCTTCTCGGCCACGAAGACGCCGCGCAGGAGGCGCGCCATGGCCGGCAGCCGCGCCAGCCGCGCCACCCGCTGCTCCTGCTGCGCGTCCCGCGTCAACAGCGCCGCCAGCCGCGCCGCCTCCTTCGCCCGCACCTGACACAGGGACACCCACCCTGAGCGCGGGCAGCAGCCCCAGGGGATGGGCTGGGCACAGGGAGCACCTCCAGGGGATGGGCTGGGCATGGGCAGCACCCCCAGGGGATGGGCTGGGCATGGGCAGCACCCCCAGGGGACGGGCTGGGCACAGGGAGCACCCCCAGGGGACGGGCTGGGCACAGGGAGCAGCCCCAGGGGACGGGCTGGGCACGGGCAGCACCCTCAGCCCCAGCACAGAGCGACTCACCCGCTCCAGCAGCCCCTGGGACACCCACCCTGAGCACGGGCAGCGCCCCCAGCCCCGTGTGAGGCCCAGCACAGTGACTCACCCGCTCCAGCAGCCCCTGGGACACCCACCCTGAGCACGGGCAGCGCCCCCAGCCCCGTGTGAGGCCCAGCACAGTGACTCACCCGCTCCAGCAGCCCCTGGGACACCCCTCTGAGCGCGCTGGAGGTGCTGGCAGGGGCTGGGGCTTTGGAAAGTGCCTGCTCCCCCGCACTGGCTTCGGCCGTTCTGAGGGCCAGGTTGGCAAGAGCTTTTTCCATCTGCTCATGTGGAAGAGGGAGGAGGAGTTGGGTTACAGTTCAGGCTGGAGGAAGGAGAAGTTTCCCCTCTGCCGCCCCCGCTGTCACCCGGCAGCCCAGGATCCCAGCCCAGTGATCCTGATCCATCCTGCCTGCACACAGGAGCTTGGGGGGCTTCATAGAATGGTCTGGGTGGGAAAGGACTGGAAGCTCTTCTCATTTGCAGCCCCCTGCCATGGCAGGGACACCTTCCACTAGCCCAGATTGTTCCAAGCCCCAATGTCCAGCCTGGCCTTGGGCACTTCCAGGGCTCCAGGGGCAGCCACAGCTGTTCTGGGCACCCTGTGCCAGGGCCTGCCCACCCTCCCAGCCAGGAATTCCTTCCCAGTATCTCATCTAACCCTGCCCTCTGGCAGTGAGAAGCCACCCATACCTTCCCAGAGGTGGCACAGACAGAGCCAGCCCCTGGCCCTGGCTCACCTTGGGGCTCAGCATCCCCCGGGCCGTGCTCAGCACCTCCTGGGCTGTGCTCAGCCTGTCCTCCTGCGGCGGCCGCGGCAGCTCCGCGGGGCTGATGTCTGGCACCTCATCCACGTTGAAGCGGGGATGCCACCGGGTCAGCTTCTCCTCTGGCACCACCATGGGAGGGCTGAGGGCAGCCAGGAATGCCTGGAGAAGGGTGAGAGCTGTGTCATGGCACCAGGAATGCAGAGGCAGCCACTGCCCTGCGCTCCCAGCACAGCTTGGTGACACAGGGAGCGAATTCAGAGCCTGCCTCCAAGAGGAACCTCCGTGTCCTTCAGCCTGGATGGCACCAGTGACAACCCCAGAGCAGGCAGGGGGTGCCAGGTGCCCCTCACCTTGTGGTGCTCCCTGACAATGTTGACCAGGTTGCGGTGGAATTCCCTCCGGCGCTCCAGCAGCCGCGACGCCGACAGGTGCGGGCGCCCATCCACCTTCTCCTCTGCCAGGAGGGACACGAGTGTCACCCACAGAGCCCAGCAGGGCACAAACCACGGCAGCCTCGGGAAGGACAGGACCAGAGCCCTGCCATGGAGCTGAGTCGCTGCCTCAGGACGTTCTCCCTCCTGTCCCAAACCTGTTTCCCACTTCCAACACGTTCAGGGGATCCATTTAATGGACCAAGCAGAGCATCCCTATGGATTCAGGGATCAGCCAGGACCGAGCATACCCCAAAACCATCCATACCTTCCCCCAGGACTGGCTCCAGCGTGAGCTGATACTCAGACTTCTTCTTCCCGCCGCTGCCGAAGGTGGGGACGTTCTTCTCCTGGCGCAGCCGGTACGAGCTGGGATACACAGCCTTGATCTGCCCCAGGTGCTGCTCCTCAAACTGCCTGTGACGGCACCACAGGGGTTGGGAACGCCCAGAGCTGCAGCTGGGACCCCGAAAGGGGCTGCTGGGACCCCGAAAGGGGCCATCTCACCTGCGCATCATGTCCTGCACGCCCTGCTTGACCTTGGCGAAGGTGACGGTCTCGGCGCGGTTGAAGAGCATCCCGGTGATGGTGTCCACGCTGCGGAACATCTCTGCCAGCACCCGGAACTTGTAGGGCAGCGTCAGCCCCGGGGGCAGCTCCTGGGCCAGCGTGTGGAAGCGCTGGTACGCCGGGGGCTTCTGCCTGCGGGGAAGGACAGGACGGGGTCAGGGCCCTGCTGCTGACACCGTGCCCGCCTCCCACCCCATCCCAAAGCCCTTCTCTAGGGTGGTATTGGGGTCACGTCACCTGTGACATTGGTGTCACAACGCTCAGAGTCCCCACAGCCCTCAGACCCCCACAAAACCACTTCAGGGCCGTGGCAGCCCCCTCAAACCCCCCCTGCAGCTGCTCCTCACCCGGTCTCTGCCCCCGGAGCTGCTGCCCCGGTGTCCCCAGCCCCGGTGGCCCCGGTGTCCCCGGTGGCCGCTCTCCTCTGCCGGACGCGCAGCTCCAGCTGCCGCACACGCTCCAGGCGGCTCCGCAGGTCACTGCTGGTCCCGCTGGGGACAGAGGGGACCTGGCCCGGCACCTTCATCCTCTGCAGGCGGCCCTGCAGCTCAGCCACGTCCTCCTGGGCAGGGAGGGGACACAGGGTCAGAGCGGGACACGCGGCACCGAATCCACCCGCGCCGGGAGCAGAGCCGGGATCAGCCCGTACCCGCTGCAGGCGCCGGGCCGGCCCCGGGGATCCTGGGCTGGGCTCTGTCCCCGTGTCCTGCCCACGGCACGGGGAGCCGCTGGTGCTGGCCGGGGGAGACGCGGCCGGGTCCCGTGACAGCGGTGTCGGGGGTCGAGGAGTGGCCAGAGGCGAGGAGCTGGTGGCCTGCAAGAGAGAGGAGAGTTAGGGACTGTCCGGGTTCCTTAGGGACTGTCCGGGGAGCTCACCCACCGCGATCCCTTCCCCTGTGCCCCCCGAGGTCTTGCACGGGGAAGGGGAGCCATAGAAGCGTCTGCGATAGGGGCAGGAGGCAAGCCCGGGGGGCTGAGGGGGGCGAGTTTTGGGGTTTGTGAACTTGGGGCAGGGGTAAGCCCGGGTTCCGGGTGAGGGGGGGGATTGTGAATCAGGAGAAGGGGAGGCAAGTTTGGGGGGTCCTGCAGGGGGAAAAGGGATCGAACGCGGGGCTGTTGTTTTCTGGTTCCACACGCACCCATCCGCTCCCCCACCCCTTTATCCTCCCCCATCCCATTTCAGGGCCGCATCGCAGAGGAAGCGGCGCATCCCCGACCCCGCCATGTCCCTACCGCTCCCGGAGACCCCGGCTGCGCATCCCGGGGCAGCTCCAGCCTCTTCCGCGCCGACTTCCCGCTCCGTTCCCCGAGCCGGGCCCCGACCGGCGACCCCGCTTCCATCTCCCGGCGGCTCCGTTTCCTGCCCGCCAGGCCCCGCAGCGCCGGGGAGCCCCCGCGGGCCGGGGTGCGCGGCGAGCCGGGCAGCGGCAGCGAGCGGCCGCTGAGCCCCGCCGGGACACCATCCTCATCCTCCCGGTGCACCGGGGAACCGGCGAGGGCGGCCTTGAGCAGGCGGCCGCCGCTGCGCTTGCCCGGGGCTCCGGTGGTCCCTTTTGTCTGGCCGAAGAAGTCGGTGAGGCGGAGCTGGGCCATGGCCACGGTCCCGGTCGCGGTCCCGGTTCCGATCCCGGTCCTGGTTCTGATCCCGATCCCGATCCCGGTCCCGGTTCCGATCCCGATCCCGCTCCCAGGAACACGTGGGGCCGGTCCCGCGCGCTTCTCTCTTGGCGGGAGCCCGCGCGCCGAGGCCCCGCCCACCGGGGGGCGGGCAGCGATCACGTGATGCGGGTTTGGCGCCACTCGGCTCTTAAAGGGGCCGCGCCCCTCGGAGCGGTGCTGCACGTGGGGGTCCGGGGGGACCGGGACAGCTCCAGGGGAACCGGGACAGCTCCGGGGGACGGGGGGCTCCGGCCTCGCTGGGTCTGGGACCAGCTGAAGCGCCACGGGCAGGGATGGAGGTTGCCAACCCCGGCTGGGGCCGATGGGGGAAAAGCTGGCAATTTCCATTGGAATTGTGCTGGTGGTCACCTCCTGATCTGCTCTTCCCAGTGCACGTGGGGCCAATATCTGACTTGGAGCTCCATGGTGGCATGGGGACCCTCCAGGGTGCAGCCATGGGAACGAGAGGCTGTGGGGCACCTGCGTTGTCCCCCTGCCCGCCATTCCCTGCCCTGTGCTGTTGGCAGTGCCCGGAGCTGGGAGAAGCCTCTGGCCCATCACTGCCGGACCAGGCACTCAGCCGTGCCCACAGCACTTTATGGAGCCTCATGTGTCTCCCCCATCCCTCGTAAAACCTGAGCGAGGCTGGCAGAGTGCAGCAGGGCCGGATCCAGGCGGGCAGGGCAGGGCTCTGGGGTGCCATTCCCGGTGCCCATTTGCTTCCACAGCCTCCATTCCCTGCCTGGCTGCGTGTGCTCGGGGCTGCTGCGGGTGCTGCACCACCCTTTCCTGGATCCCTGCTGGTTGGGGGTGCAGTGGGGTGTGGGCAGGGGCAATTCCCATCTCCAAACATGGTGTTAGTGCTGAACTTCACGTCTTTGTGCTGACCAATGTTTCATTTACACGAGCAGCTCCCTCCGGATCCCAGTGCCGAGGGTGGAAGCAGCTGAATCCCCGTGATAAGGATGCTGCCCCGAGGGGCTGTGCCCACTGAGCCCATGGATCCACACACTGGGGAACTGTCAGACCCATCCTGTGCCCACTGAACCCATGGATCCACACACTGGGGAACTGTCAGACCCATCCTGTGCCCACTGAACCCATGGATCCACACACTGGGGAGCCATCAGACCCATCCTGGGGAGCCATCAGGCCCATCCTGTGCCCACTGAACCCATGGATCCACACACTGGGGAACTGTCAGGCCCATCCTGTGCCCACTGAACCCGTGGATCCACACACTGGGGAACTGTCAGACCCATCCTGTGCCCACTGAACCCATGGATCCACACACTGGGGAACTGTCAGACCCATCCTGTGCCCACTGAACCCATGGATCCACACACTGGGGAACTGTCAGACCCATCCTGTGCCCACTGAACCCGTGGATCCACACACTGGGGGCCATCAGGCCCATCCTGCTTTGGGGGTTCTGGGTGGGCAGGGGTGCCTGGATGGGGCTTGGGCACATTTGGGGTGGGGAGAAGAGGCCCTGGAATTCTGGAGGGAGCCCAGGAGAGAGTGGGGAGCAGTCTGGCAGTGTGCCAGCTGGATGCCAGTTTATGAACCGTGTTGGGAAAACAAGCTCAGGGGAGCCAAAGAATGTGGAGAATTTCATGGGCTGATGGTTCCTGTTGGAGGCTGGTGGTTACCAGCACTGGCAGGTGTCACCAGCCACACTGCCCGTGCTACCAGCTGTGCCTGACACCTATCCACTGGGATTTGGGGTGGGATTTGGGACTGAGACAGCCCAGCTCCAGGTGTGACCTGGGCTCCCAATTCCATGGGGGTATGGGTCTGCATCTGGCTCTGCAGTGGGCACTGAGCTCTGGGAATGTGGGACTGTGGGTCCAGCTCCAGGAACAGGGGATCATTCCCCAGTGCCAGGGATCATGGACCCAGCTCCAGGAACAGGGGATCATTCCCCAGTGCCAGGGATCATGGACCCAGCTCCAGGAACAGGGGATCATTCCCCAGTGCCAGGGATCATGGACCCAGCTCCAGGAACACAGAATGATTCCCCATTGCCAGGGATCATGGACCCAGCTCCACGGCTGCACATCAACCCCTCGCAAGCTCCCTGCTCCATGCAGCAGCTCTGAGCCCTGGTATCAACAACAAACATTCAACAAAAACAAGTTCTGACTTCTTCACTTCTTCATTTCATTTTCGGACAAAACAAACACGAAGCACATCTGCTTATCTTTCTTTCCTTTTTTTTTTTTCCTTTTTTTAGTCGATTTTTTTTTTTCCCCCGACCGCAAAAAGCGGAACCCGGGGGGCTGCGGGGCCCATGCTGAGCCCGGACAACTCGTGTCAGCGGCGGGAGCGGCGGGCGCGGTGCCGGCGGGCGGCGCTGGGGCCGCGCCGGCCCCGCGGGTGGGGGGCGGGCGGTGCCGCTTTATAAAGCGGCGGGCGCGGGGCGGGGGCAGCGCCTCGGAGCGCCGCGGGACCGGGCAGCGGCATCGGCACCGGGGCCTGCCCAGCCCCGGCGGGGCGGAACGGCTCGGAGCGGCTCGGGCCGGGCCCCCCCGCCGCGGCGGCCGGGCGGGATGAAGCGGCGGGGGCTCTGCGAGGGGCTCTACTGGCTGCTGCTGCCGCTCGCCCTGCTGGCCGGTGAGTGCGGGGATCCCCCGGAGCCGACCGGCTGCGACCCCCGCCCCTGGGGAGGGTGACTCGGGGGCTGTCGCCGCTCGCCGGCGGCTGCGGGCGCGGGGCTGTCCCGGCACGTGGGGCGGGAAGCGCCGGGAAGCCGGGGGCGAGCGGGTCCCTGCGCGCAGGAACCGGGGCCGGGATCCCGGAGCCGCCGGTGGTGCCGGGGGTCGGTGCCGGGACGGGCGGACAGCCGAGACCCCGCGGCTCCAGCCGTGACCGAGCGCACCGGCGGGGAGCGCTGCCGCTTTCTCCGGGCGGGACGGGGTGTGCGTGTCCCCCCCGTCCCCCGACAGCTGTCCGGGGTGCAGGTGGCCCCGCCGGGTCACAGCCGTGTCGCCACGGCCGCTGTGCTGCTGGGGACGAGGAGCTCGCTCCGGCCGCGGTGGGCGATGCCCGGGGGTGGCAGCGCCCATTCTGTCCCCATGCCCGGGTGGATCCGGTGCCCACCCCGGCCCCCGTGGCTCTGCGGTCCCCGGGCTGCCACCAGCCCGTTCCCAGCACTGTCGGCCTTTGATGGCAGCTGTGCCACCCACCGAGGCAACCGGCTGGCCACCGGCCTGGAAAATCCCCGTGTCCCGGGACGCGCAGGACAAGAATCGGCTCTTTGAAGCCCGCCTGCTCCGGAGCCTCTTCGGGAACGCTGCGTTTGCGTAGACGCAAAGGAAAAACCTCCTTATAGCGAGGATTGTCCAAGGGGCTCCTTGTGCCGGGGCTGTTTGGCACCGACACCGGGCTCGCACCGGCCGTGCTGCGGGGCCGGGGAGCTCTGGAGTGGCTTTTGGGGGGCCCTAGAAGGACTTTTGGGACGCTGTCACCTGGAGAGAGAGGGACACGCTCCCGGCCGAGGGAGGCACAGCCAGCCCCGTTCCCAGCCGCGTTTTGGGGAGCGGGGTTGGGTTTCGGGGTGCTGGCAGCGGGCGCAGCCTCGCTGGCGGAGGAAGTCGGTGACTCTTGAAAAAGCTGCTTTTCCTTTGGTTTGCTGGGGCAGTGACTCAGAGCATCGCGCAGGATGTCAGGAGGTTAATTATAACCCAGCCCAGCCCGGGCTGCCCGAGGGGGCTGCGCTGCCCGGGCCGGGGCGCGGGAGCTGCCGGGTGCATCCCATGGGTGCCCGGGGCGACACGTGGCCTCCGGGCCAGCCTCCCGCGGGGCCCTCCTGCTCCAAATAACGCTGATTTACCCCCAGATCCTGCCGGCTTGCTGCCCCTGCCCCCTGCTCCAGCACGGGATGTGCTGGGGACCGCGGGTCCCCCACAGCTGGGGACACTGGTGGCCTTGCCGTGCCCCCCATCCCCGCGGAGCTTGTAGGTGGCTTGTTTAAATTTGGGGCCCCGCTTGGGCGGGGACTCCGTCCTGCTCCAGCTGATTGCCGAGGGGAGGTGACTCAGCAGCGCCCGGGGGGCTCGCAGGAGTAGCCGGGGGAAACTGAGGCACGGGGGGTGTGGCTCGTCCCGCCGCACCTGGCTGGGAGGGTTTGCCCCGCAGCACGGCCCTTCCTTCCCGGGCAGCTTGGCTCTCCCCGAACGTCCGCAGGATGTTTGCTCGGGGCTCCCGGCCAGCTCGGGGCCAGTGGAGCCGCAGGGCTCGGGTCCCGTGGCTCGGGGCAGCCCCCCCGGCTGGCACAGCCCTTGGGGGGTCCCGGCCGTGTCCCCACCTCGGCTCCGTCCTGCCTGCTGGGATTCTGGGCTGCTGTGGGGGGCACAGCACATCCCCCCCCAAGGGGGGACCGGGCACCCCCAGTGCCAGTCCTGGCCACGCTGATCCGTGGCTCCGTGGGCAGAGGTGATGGGTGAGGGTGGCACCCCCTCCCCGTGGGGCTGGGGTCCCCCCGAACCCCCAGGTGTGGGGACACAGCCCCCCCTGCCCGCTCAGGTGCTGGGGGGTCCCTGGGGGTCCCTGGGGCTGGAGCCCAGCTGGGTGGCAGCGTGGGCTGCAGCAGCTGCCTCCTGCGGTCAGGTGCTTTTTATAAAACCCAGGGAAATAGAATAGAGGAGGAAAAAAAACCTATTTAAAAAAAAATAAAAAAAAAAAGGCAGAGCCACTCTCAGAGCTGTCTCCAAGAGCAATAACTGCTGCTTCCTCCCGGGCAGGGGGAGGGGATGGCATGAGAGGATAAGATGGGATGGAGGTGCAGGGCCCAGGTGCCCAGGACGGAGCCCCCACAGCCCCACTGAGGTGGGGGACACTGTGAGGGGCTCCCCAGGCATGCAGTGAGTCCCCTTTGGGTAAGGACAGCAGGGTTTGGGCACCCCTGGCACTGCCATGTGGCAGCCACGGTG